GTGCAGGTGGTTGGAGTGACGGCGCTGGCGTGCGGCATGATTGCTGTGGGCTCGTGTAACGGAGATGTGACCTCCACCATCGTCCAGACCATCATGGAGAAGAACGAGCAGGAGCTGAAGGACACATATGCCCGCTGGCTGCCTCTGGGGCTGGGCCTCAACCACCTCGGTCTGCGGCGCAGTGATGATGATGATGATGACGACGACTGAGCCGCTTGCTGATTGGCTAACCGAAGGTCCTTCTCTTCTCCAGGGAAAGGCGAGGCTATAGAGACCACCCTGGCGGCTCTGCAGGTTGTTCCTGAACCTTTCCGCAGCTTCGCCAACACCTTGGTGGACATCTGCGGTTATGCAGGTGAGCTGAGAACGTCCTCTGGCGCCCCCCCCCCCCACCCCCACTGACCCGCCGCCGTCTCTCCAGGTTCTGGGAACGTCCTGAAAGTCCAGCAGCTTCTCCACATCTGCAGCGAGCATTACGAAGCCAAGGACAAAGACAAGGAGGAGGACAAGGACAAGAAGGAGAAGAAGGACAAGGACAAGAAGGACACGGCTGACATGGGCTCTCACCAGGTAGGAGGGTCAAAGGTCAGAGATGAGCCACGCTGCAGACAGGAGGTGGTTGATGAGCAACTGTTAGCAGGTTGTTTGATCTCCTTTGAAGGAGCCGATGATGTCATTTCCTGTTGATGAGGAAGTGACAGTCACAGCTCCTCTTCATCAAAGGTCCCTTAGAGAGACGCAGGTGTGAGGAAGAGGAGTGATGAAGTTCCTTTCTGTCGTCCTCTCAGGGCGTGGCTGTCCTGGGCATCGCCCTGATCGCCATGGGGGAGGAGATTGGTTCTGAAATGGCTCTGCGGACATTTGGACACCTGGTCAGTGTTTCTAGGTGTTCTGATCTAGAAAACTAGATCTAAGGACCCTTCAGGTCGGCGCTGTCTAGTTTCTCAGCCTTGCTCTGTTTTCAGCTGCGTTACGGCGAGCCCACGCTGCGGAGGGCCGTCCCGCTGGCCCTCGCCCTCATCTCCGTGTCCAACCCCCGGCTCAACATCCTGGACACCCTCAGCAAGTTCTCCCACGACGCTGACCCGGAGGTCTCCCATAACTCCATCTTCGCCATGGGCATGGTGGGCAGTGGTGAGTGGGGGGGTGAGGGGGAGGGAGGGAGGGAGGCGCTGCCATGAACTCCACACTGAAACGTTTCTCCCATTTCTTCTTCTCTTGAGGCACAAACAACGCCCGCCTGGCGGCCATGCTGCGGCAGCTGGCCCAGTACCACGCCAAAGACCCCAACAACCTGTTCATGGTGCGCCTGGCGCAGGTGAGTGATGACCAGGGAGCCGCTCGCCGTTATCCACCGACCGCTTACTGAGGCCCAGCTGTTTCTGCTCCTCAGGGTCTGACTCACCTGGGCAAAGGGACGCTCACGCTGTGCCCCTACCACAGCGACCGGCAGCTGATGAGCCAGGTGGCCGTGGCGGGCCTGCTCACCGTGCTCGTCTCCTTCCTGGACGTCAAGAACAGTGAGTTGGTGTTGGTGACGGGGGGGGGCCTGATGACGGGGGGGGGCTGATGACGGGGGGGGGCCTGATGACAGGGGGGGGGGCCTGATGACGGGGGGGGGGGGGCTGATGACAGGGGGGGCCTGATGACGGGGGGGGCCTGATGACGGGGGGGGGCTGATGACGGGGGGGTGGGGGCTGACGACAGGGGGGGGGGCTGATGACGGGGGGCTGACGACAGGGGGGGGGCCTGATGACGGAGGGGCTGATGACGGGGGGGCCTGATGGGGGGGGGGTGCTGGTGACAGGGGGGGGGGGGGGGCCTGATGACGGAGGGGCTGATGACGGGGGGGCCTGATGACGGGGGGGTGGGGGCTGACGACAGGGGGGGGCCTGATGACGGGGGGTTGACGACAGGGGGGGGCCTGATGACGGAGGGGCTGATGACGGGGGGGCCTGATGGGGGGGGGGTGCTGGTGACAGGGGGGGGGGCCTGATGGGGTGGGGGGTGCTGGTGACAGGGGGGGGGGGGCCTGATGACGGGGGGGGGCTGATGACGGGGGGGTGGGGGCTGACGACGGGGGGGTGGGGGCTGATGACGGGGGGCTGACGACAGGGGGGGGGCCTGATGACGGAGGGGCTGATGACGGGGGGGCCTGATGGGGGGGGGGTGCTGGTGACAGGGGGGGGGGGGGGCCCTGATGACGGAGGGGCTGATGACGGGGGGGCCTGATGACGGGGGGGGTGGGGGCTGACGACAGGGGGGGGCCTGATGACGGGGGGCTGACGACAGGGGGGGGCCTGATGACGGGGGGGCCTGATGGGGGGGGGGGGTGCTGGTGACAGGGGGGGGGGGCCTGATGGGGGGGGGTGCTGGTGACAGGGGGGGGGGCCTGATGACGGGGGGGCCTGGTGACGGGGGGGGGGGGGGGGGCTGATGACAGGGGGGGGGGCCTGATGACGGGGGGGCTGACGGGGCTGCTGTGTGTTTCAGTCATCCTGGGAAAGTCTCACTACATCCTGTACGGCCTGGTGGCGGCCATGCAGCCCCGCATGCTCGTCACATTCGATGAGGAGCTGCGACCGCTGCCCGTCTCAGTCAGAGTTGGACAGGTAAGCCCTGCTGGGAAAGCTTGTAGAATCCAGAACCCAGTTGGCCCTGGGGCCCCGTCCTCTGGATTCTCATCCAAAGCGTCTTGTGTCCTCAGGCCGTGGACGTCGTCGGCCAAGCAGGGAAGCCGAAGGCCATCACGGGTTTCCAGACTCACACCACGCCTGTGCTGCTGGCTCATGGCGAGAGGGCGGAGCTAGCCACAGAGGAGTACCTCCCCGTCACGCCAATCCTGGAGGGCTTCGTTATCCTCCGCAAGAACCCCAACTACGAAACCTAGAGGGCCCCGGGCCCCTGGCTGTCATGGTCTATGGTCTGTGGCCTGAATCGTTAACGTTGGATGGATGGAGCGCTGCTAGGAGCAGAACTGGGACCCCCTCCTTCCTACCCGGATGGTTCTACCTGGTTCTACCTGAGCCAGCTCTTTGACTCTTGGACCAGTTCAGTAATATAGAGCCTGTCTGCCACTCCTCTGTATCGTCTTCATTCATTGGTCACTGATTAATGCTGAGTCATCCTCGGCGTTCTGTGGCTGCAGCATTGAAACTTGTCCGGCTTTTCTTCCTTTAGGTTTTTGTTACTGTGTTGTAAAAGTTTGAGTTCAAATAAAGGGATGAGTTTGGTTGAGATTATTTCACTTTCTATGTCGCCTCAGTTGATTTCATCTCAGCTGCTCTTATAGATCCGCTTCAATCAGATCATCCAGACAGATTCAGGTTTTCTACCTCATTCACTCACCTTCTGAATCCTATGAAGCCAAACAGGAAGTGGTCAGAGGTCTGTCTGAATACAGCTGGATGAGTTGGATGCTTCCTATCATGCTTCCTTTAGCATACAGACCTCCTAAGGTTCCTATCCACAGCTAGGAGCTTCACGGTTTCCCACAATCCTTTGCTGACAGGCCGTACAGCTCAGCCCCCTTTAGAGTTAAACGTTCCTCACATTTAGGGAAGCTTGGATGTTGTAGTTCTTTTCCTGAAGGCTGTAGTCCCAATCTGACCTCCATCATCCATGATGAGGCCTGGGAGGCTGAAGCTGCCTTTCCTGGCCTGGAGGGAGTTCTGCTGTGGAACAAGGAGGAGCAGGTGAAGGTCGACTCCTTTACACTGATATTTATTTCTTCTGGAACTGTTACGCATTTTTCTTTTAGGTTTTTTGTTTTGATATGTTAAAGATTCTCAGTCATCCAGGTCATAGTTATTCCCAATAAGTTAAACAATCCACTGGACTTTGTTTTGTTTTTTTTGGAGTTTCTCTTCCATCCAGGAAGTTTTTTCATTCCAAATGTCAGAAATAGCATTTAGTTCCAGGTTTTATCAGGCAGCCCAACAAAGCCTGGTTTTAGTTTAGAAAACATGCAGATAGAACCAGAGGAACGCGTTCCTTAGTATTTGGGTTGTTTGGTTTTTTTGTTAGCCTGTGCAGAAGCAACTGTACTGCATTGGTATATAGCCTTATTGGTGGCTCAGTAAAAGGCCTTAAACTTAGCAACACACACAGAGAATATAGTAGACAGGGTGTTTGAACCCGATACTGGTCTGTGTCTCTGAAAGGGGGTCGTTAGCGGGAAATGTTGGCCTGGCTGACCACCCGAGATGTTGGTTCAATGCTCACTACCATTGGAACAACCATTCTGGAAGTTCATAGTCTTTCCTGGAAGGGGGTTTTTTAAAAGGCAGACGTCTGCGTGAATTATAGGCCCATCTCTCACTTATTCCCAAAATACTAGAGAAGGTCGTCTGCAACCAGCTGTTCTCGTTTTTAGAGGAGAATGACGTCGAACCGTTTCAGTCAGGATTCCCTTCAAGGAAAAAGCATCTCTGAGGGTTTCAGATGACTTTACTGTCAGACTGGAACGTTTCTTTTTTTATGCTTCTATCTTCTGCAGCTGATGCTGTTGATCAAAGCATTTGAATGTTTGACAATTGAACGGACATTAGTGGCGTATTGATGCTAATTGTCCATTAGGAGTTTGTGTTAAAAAGGAGAACTCTGTCCTCCGCAGCTCCTCTTCCACACTATCATCTAGTTTTATATGGAGCTGGAGCTGCTTATTATGTCTGTTTTATTCTTATTTATGCTGAACTTGTTTTATGTACAGCGCTGTGCTTTTAAATGTGCTGATTGATTAATAAGACAGGAAATCAAAGCGACATGAAGCAGGTTATATAGAACTGAGGCAGGGTTACATCAGGACATCAGCTGCTGTCAGTTTAACCAACAGGTGGCGCTAAATTCACCAAAACAAAATGTCACAAAAAAAAAAAAATAATATAATTAACATTAATTAAATATTCTTTAAAAAATTTAAACCAATAAAGTAACTTTCTGAGTCCCGATCCTGGACTAAATAACAGGATGAGGAAAAGTTGAAGTAACTCGCTGGGAACTTTCCACGTGACTGGATCTGGCCGGAAGTAGTAGCTACCGGCTTCCGGTGAGCTTTCCGTCCGTCCGGCTCTGCGGAGTCAAGGAGAGAAAGGTAACCGCTGCCCTCGGCTCCATTCTGGCTCCAAACATCCAGTTTTTCCCCTTAACTTCCCCGTCATGTTGACCTAAAGTATCCGGGCGGAAGTTGAATGTCGGTGTCATGCTTGTTTTCCCGGGAAAAGGCTCTATGGCGGGACTTTCTCCAATGCTAATTAGCTAGCGCTAGTTAGCATTGGAGCTAAGGCGGTGTGGGTGATCTGGGGCTACCCGGCTAACAGGCTAGCACCGCGGCATACAGCCGGTCCGACTCCTTAATCCAGTAACCAGATTAATAATCCATGTTTTGCTGTGAGGAGCTGATCAGTTCCAGCAGCATCACCAGCTGCCATCTAACGGAAGCTAACCGGCAGCTAACCGGCTGCAGCTAGCAGCTGGAGGCAGGGTGGGCATTTTCTGACAGTCTCTGATTTGATGAAATGATTCCCATCAGACGCGAACATGAAGATGAAACAGCAGAGGTCACGTGATCAGGAAGGCAGTAGTAGATGTTTGGTTTCTAGATGTCACAGACTGCTCAGTGTGGATCCTGCTCTGACCTCCACCCCTCCCCTCTGAGCATCTGGAGCTCCGCTTCAATGGAGGCTGCTGCTGCAGGCAGATGTCCTCCAGATGTGTCCCTGGAGGCTCTGATTCAGTGACAGCAGCTTCATTCCATCCGGCCTCCAGACGACACCGTTTGGCCCCATCCGGCCTCCAGACGGCACCGTTTGGCCCCAGACGGCACCGTTTGGCCCCATCCGGCCTCCAGACGGCACCGTTTGGCCCCATCCGGCCTCCAGACGGCACCGTTTGGCCCCATCCGGCCTCCAGACGGCACCGTTTGGCCCCAGACGGCACCGTTTGGCCCCATCCGGCCTCCAGACGGCACCGTTTGGCCCCATCCGGCCTCCAGACGGCACCGTTTGGCCCCATCCGGCACCGTTTGGCCCCAGACGGCACCGTTTGGCCCCAGACGGCACCGTTTGGCGCTTTTTCAAAAATATGTGAAATAGTTTTTTTTTCTTTTGCTTTAATATGGTGTGCAGGAGGTCAAACAATAATGATGTTTTCCAATGCTGTAAACATTTGTATAATAAATAAATGTAAACAATAATTTGCGTCATAGCCGTAGAGGTCAGAGGTCATAACCTGCAGCCAGCGCTGCAGAGCCCGGCGGCTGGAAGATAGCTGATGAGAGAAGAGCATTTAAAGGAAGGACCGGATCATTTTCTTTATTTATCATTGCCTGCATTTTTGCTTGGTAATGAGAGGTTGGCAAAAAATAAAAATATAAATTTGGAAAGGCATTTCCAGGGACGGCTAAATCTGCAGCCGATCACCAAGATGGGAGGGAGAGAAAAGGTGTTTGCAGAACTTCTGGATCAATTAGAGGAGAGCAAATGTAGATTTAAGAAGTAGATTGCATCTCCAAACTCCTGCTGCTAGTTTGGCTGAAAGGATGGAAAACCGTCCACAGATCCAACAGGTGGCACTCTGATGCAGGGATGGGAACTTTCTTCCATTTTTTCCCCTAAAAATCTAAATCCCACCAAAGAACGCTGGGATGGGGGATTTCAGGGTCAGAGAGCTCTGCTCTGATGTCACTTCCTGCTTGGTTCCTCGTGACTCCATCAGCTCCTCCCAACAGAAACACGTCCACCATAGAAACATTCCTTTATCCTGTTTCTATCATTTCATCAATGCAGCTAAACTTAAACCGCGCGGTGAAGGGCGGTTAGGCGGTGTGCGGTTAGGCGGCGTGATGGGAGCGTTCACGGCTCCTCCCTCACCTCCTGCTGCTATGTGACATTTGCTCGAGGATAAACATTTAATCATGAATGTTTATTATATATTTAAACCCACATAGTAATTTTCTATAGTAGATAAAACACTTAGAGCCGTGTTTCCATACGAGGCGTCAGACTTTTACATTTTTACATCTAGGCAGATTTATGTTTTGTTTTTTTGTCCAATATGGCTCTTTGAGCTGCCGACCCCTGATCTAGGCAGTCTGTCTCTAACTGCTGATGGCGTGCTGTCCAACACCTTTTATTTTTCCTCTCAACAAAGACGTTGTTCCCACATCACAATTTCCCACCTGAGCTGCTGCTCCTGAAGCTCCTCCAGAGCTGGGCACCACCATTAGGACACGGCCCCCCTGTGGTGCCTCTGACTGATCAGCTAACTGAGCTGCTGTGTTAGTAATGAAGGACAGGCTAACGATTAGCATGTCCAGGCTAACCCTGTCCCTCCTCCAAAGCTGGAATCTGAAGCTGCTTTCAGATTACAGATTATGGCTAAAGGATCATTCCATCACTTTCCAGCTTCCTCAGGATTCTTTAATCTACTCTAGATCCTAGACTCTTCAAACCTAGATTAAAGCATTCTAGATTAGATGGAGATTACCTTAAACCGATTTAGGGGTTTGTGAATCTTATCAGACTGATTTAGTTTAATCAAATTTAATCTTTTTTCTAAATGGGCCAAATTAGAACTGAAATTAGACCAAATGAGAACTGCTTCATTCTAATATTATTCTACACTAACGACCCTGAGAGGATAAAAGAGCGTGTTGAGCGCCGGCCTCGTCCGACCGCCGGCCTCGTCTGAGCGCCAGCCTCGTCCGACCGCCAGCCTCGTTCCAATCCTAGGATCATCTAAAGCCGAGCCTACAATGTGCGATTTTTTTTTTTTCACCATGTTTGATTTTCTCCCGACCTCACAATGGTCGTGAGAGGCTGATGGCCCCTCGTTACGCCCTGTACGCTACCCAATCAGGCTGAAAGTCGGCCCGATGGAAAGATTCTTGAACGACTGGAAAACCGCCCCAAAAATCGCACAGTGTACATCCGGCTTTAAAGCCGGCTTTGTTTTGGCGCTGGCCACATCAAAGCGGCGTCTAAGCATCGGCCCCATGCCATCTTAGCGCCGGCCCGTCATCTTCTTTGTATTTTGTAGGTTTTAGTTGATTGATTCCGGGACTAATTAAAGGCTGTGTAGACCATTCGGAATATCTCTGGAACTTTCCTGCAGTAGCGTCACGTTGGACCTAAAGGAAAACCATCAAAGCAAATCAGAGTCTATTTAGTTTTTGTCAGTTTAATTTTCCCAGGACTGAGGATTCTCTTCTGTTTTTTAGATTTCTACTCTGGTCAATGACTGCCTCCCCATGAAGAACCCCATGAAATGAATAAAGCACCACAGCCTATAACGGGACCCCCCACCGCCCCCCACCCTGCCCCCTCCCCTGGTCTGTCACAGGTAAGCTCCTAAACGCTCCCCCCCCCCGTTGTTTTAGCTTCAGTTGCTGCAGCAGCCGGGGCTAACGTCAGTCCGCGTCCATTAGCCGGGGCTAACGTCAGTCCGCGTCCAGCAGCCGGGGCTAACGCCAGTCCGCGTTCAGCAGCCGGGGCTAACGTCAGTCCGCGTTCAGCAGCCGGGAATAAGGTCAGCCTGCACTCACTTATAGGAATAGTACACCCAAAACATGATTAGCCTTCATTTTCTACTCACCCCCATGCTGAACAACACTCTGGAGTACTTTTTTGATATCTCAAATGCATCTGGAGATCTGGGAGGCTTCTTGCTGTCTGCTGAAATTCAAATAATGGAGGTCTATGGCGCCCGAGGCAGAAAGGTCCATAAAAGTCCACAAACAACGTGTCAATATTCCTCCATACTGCTCGTCCAATGTATTCCAAGTGTCCTGAGTGGGTAGCGTCCAGAATTTACTCGAAACGAAGTCATTTAGAATGTTTTTAGAGCATAAACAGTAGTGTATAGGATTTCCTGAAAGCGCGCACATGCGCGTTCACGACGCTACGGAAGCCGGCAGACCAAACCAGCGCATTCAGCTCGGCAAAGAACTCATGCTCTTCCTCAACACTGAAGTCCTCAGACATTTTTCTTTCGTTGTTTCTTTCTTTGCACAGGTAAACAGCACATTTCTTCTTCTACGCTTGCATTATCGGCAGAGCAGACGCTGAATGCGCACTTTCATCTGGTTTTGTCTGCCGCGGTTTCCGTAGCGTCGTGAGCGCGCATGTGCGCGCTTTCAGGAAATCCTATATACTACTGTTTATGCTCTAAAAACATTCTAAATGACTTCGTTTCGAGTAAATTCTGGATGCTACCCACTCAGGACACTTGGAATACATTGGACGAGCAGTATGGAGGAATATTGACACGTTTTTTGTGGACTTTTATGGACCTTTCTGCCTCGGGCGCCATAGACCTCCATTATTTGAATGTCAGCAGACAGCAAGAAGCCTCCCAGATCTCCAGATGCATTTGAGATATCAAGAAAGTACTCCAGAGTGTTGTTCAGCATGGGGGTGAGTAGAAAATGAAATGAACGTCAGTCCGCGCTCAGCAGCCGGGGTTAACGTCAGTCCGCGCTCAGCAGCCGGGGTTAACGTCAGTCCGCGCTCAGCAGCCGGGGTTAACGTCAGTCCGCGCTCAGCAGCCGGGGTTAACGTCAGTCCATGTTCACGTAAATCCGCGCTCAGCAGCCGGGGCTAACGTCAGTCCGCACTCAGCAGCCGGGGCTAAAGTCAGTCCGCACTCAGCAGCCGGGGCTAACGTCAGACCACGCTCAGCAGCCGGGGCTAACGTCAGTCCGCGCTCAGCAGCCGGGGCTAACGTCAGTCCGCGCTCAGCAGCCGGGGCTAACGGCAGTCCGCGCTCAGCAGCCGGGGCTAACGTCAGTCCGCGCTCAGCGGCCGGGGCTAACGTCAGTCCGCGCTCAGCGGCCGGGGCTAACGTCAGTCCGCGCTCAGCGGCCGGGGCTAACGTCAGTCCGCGCTCAGCGGCCGGGGCTAACGTCAGTCCGCGCTCAGCAGCCTGGGCAAACGTCAGTCCGCGCTCAGCAGCCGGGGCTAACGTCAGTCCGCGCTCAGCAGCCGGGGCTAACGTCAGTCCGCGCTCAGCAGCCGGGGTTAACGTCAGTCCGCGCTCAGCAGCCGGGGTTAACGTCAGTCCGCGCTCAGCAGCCGGGGTTAACGTCAGTCCATGTTCACGTAAATCCGCGCTCAGCAGCCGGGGCTAACGTCAGTCCGCACTCAGCAGCCGGGGCTAACGTCAGTCCGCGCTCAGCAGCCGGGGCTAACGTCAGTCCGCACTCAGCAACCGGGGTTAACGTCAGTCCGAGCTCAGCAGCCGGGGTTAACGTCAGTCCGCGCTCAGCAGCCGGGGTTAACGTCAGTCCGCGCTCAGCAGCCAGGGTTAACGTCAGTCCGCACTCAGCAGCAGGGGCTAACGTCAGTCCGCGCTCAGCAGCCGGGGTTAACGTCAGTCCGCGCTCAGCAGCCTGGGCAAACGTCAGTCCATGTTCACGTAAATCCGCGCTCAGCAGCCGGGGCTAACGTCAGTCCGCGTTCAGCAGCCGGGGCTAATGACAGTCCGCGCTCAGCAGCCGGGGCTAACGTCAGTCCGCGCTCAGCAGCCGGGGCTAACGTCAGTCCGCGTTCAGCAGCCGGGGTTAACGTCAGTCCGCGTTCAGCAGCCGGGGCTAACGTCAGTCCGCGTTCAGCAGCCGGGGCTAACGACAGTCCGCGCTCAGCAGCCGGGGCTAACGTCAGTCCGCGTTCAGCAGCCGGGGCTAACGTCAGTACGCGCTCAGCAGCCGGGGTTAACGTCAGTCCGCGCTCAGCAGCCGGGGTTAACGTCAGTCCGCGCTCAGCAGCCGGGGGCTAATGACAGTCCGCGCTCAGCAGCCGGCGCTAAGGTCAGCTCACGTTCACTGATGTCTGGTTGCTCTGTGCCTCTTGCAGCCATCGTTCCCCCCTGGGCAGCCAACCTCTGTGGTGTTTGCTTCCTCAGCACCTCCTCAGATGAACCCCACGCCACAGCCCCGACAGGTAAGCCCCGCCCACACCTGCAGCAGGTAGAGACACTGAGGGACGGAACAACAGCTTTCCCTGATCAGTCAGAAGCTCCGACTACAGGAGGTCTGCTGGTTTAGGTAGTTTAGGTGATTGAGCTGCTGGTTTAGGTAGTTTAGGTGATTGAGCTGCTGGTTTAGGTGATTGACCTGCTGGTTTAGGTGATTGACCTGCTGGTTTAAGTAGTTTATGTGATTGAGCTGCTGGTTTAGGTAGTTTAGGTGATTGAGCTGCTGGTTTAGGTGATTGAGCTGCTGGTTTAGTTAGTTTATGTGATTGAGCTGCTGGTTTAGGTGATTGACCTGCTGGTTTAAGTAGTTTATGTGATTGAGCTGCTGGTTTAGGTGATTGAGCTGCTGGTTTAGGTGATTGACCCGCTGGTTTAAGTAGTTTATGTGATTGAGCTGCTGGTTTAGGTAGTTTAGGTGATTGAGCTGCTGGTTTAAGTAGTTTAGGTGATCTAGCTGCTGGTTTAGGTGATTGAGCTGCTGGTTTAGTTAGTTTATGTGATTGAGCTGCTGGTTTAGGTGATTGACCTGCTGGTTTAAGTAGTTTTTGTGATGGAGCTGCTGGTTTAGGTAGTTTAGGTGATTGAGCTGCTGGTTTAGGTGATTGACCTGCTGGTTTAAGTAGTTTATGTGATTGAGCTGCTGGTTTAGGTAGTTTAGGTGATTGAGCTGCTGGTTTAGGTAGTTTATGTGATTGAGCTGCTGGTTTAGGTAGTTTAGGTGATTGAGCTGCTGGTTTAAGTCGATTGTGATTGAGCTGCTGGTTTAGGTAGTTTAGGTGATTGAGCTGCTGGTTTAGGTGATTGACCTGCTGGTTTAAGTAGTTTATGTGATTGAGCTGCTGGTTTAGGTAGTTTAGGTGATTGAGCTGCTGGGTTAGGTGATTGAGCTGCTGGTTTAGGTGATTGAGCTGCTGGTTTAGGTAGTTTATGTGATTGAGCTGCTGGTTTAGGTAGTTTATGTGATTGAGCTGCTGGTTTAAGTAGTTTGTGATTGAGCTGCTGGTTTAAGTAGTTTGTGATTGAGCTGCTGGTTTAAGTAGTTTAGGTGATTGAGCTGCTGGTTTAGGTAGTTTATGTGATTGAGCTGCTGGTTTAAGTAGTTTATGTGATGACCTATTGGTTTAGGTAGTTTAGGTGATTGAGCTGCTGGTTTAGGTAGTTTATGTGATTGAGCTGCTGGTTTAAGTAGTTTATGTGATGACCTATTGGTTTAGGTAGTTTAGGTGATTGAGCTGCTGGTTTAGGTAGTTTAGGTGATTGAGCTGCTGGTTTAGGTCGTTTATGTGATTGAGCTGCTGGTTTGGGTAGTTTAGGGGATTGAGCTGCTGGTTTAGGTAGTTTAGGTGACTTAGCAGCTGATTTAGGTAATTTATGTGATTGAGCTGCTGGTTTAAGTAGTTTATGTGATTGAGCTGCTGGTTTAGGTAGTTTAGGTGATTGAGCTGCTGGTTTAGGTGATTGACCTGCTGGTTTAAGTAGTTTATGTGATTAAGCTGCTGGTTTAGGTAGTTTATGTGACTGACCTGCTGGTTTAGGTGATTGACCTACTGGTTTAAGTAGTTTATGTGATTGACTTACTGGTTTAGGTAGTTAAGGTGATTGACCTGCTGGTTTAGGTGATTGACCTGCTAGTTTAAGTAGTGTATGTGATTTACCTGCTGGTTAGGTAGTTTAGGTTATTGATCTGTTTAGGTAGTTTAGGTGATTGACCTGCTGGTTTAGGTAGTTCAGGTTATTGATCTGTTGGTTTAGGTAGTTTAGATGATTGACCTGCTGGTTTAGGTAGTTCAGGTTATTGATCTGCTGGTTAAGGTAGTTTATGTGATCCATCTGAAAGTTTAGGTAGTTTAGGTGATCAGGCTGGAGGTTTAGGTAGTTTAGGTTATCCAGCTGAAGGTTTAGGTGGTTTGGGTGATTAGGCTGAAGGTTTAGGTGGTTTAGGGTATCCAGCTGAAAGTTAAGGTAGTTTAGGTGATTGGGCTGAAGGTTTAGGTGGTTTGGGTGAGTGACCTGCTGGTTTGGGTAGTTTGTGATTGAGCTGCTGGTTTAGGTAGTTTAGGTGATTGAGCTGCTGGTTTAGTTGATTGACCTACTGGTTTAAGTAGTTTGTGATTGAGCTGCTGGTTTAGGTAGTTTAGGTGAGTGACCTGCTGGTTTAGGTACTTTATGTGATTGACCTGCTGGTTTGGGTAGTTTAGGTGATTGAGCTGCTGGTTTAGGTAGTTTATGTGATTGACCTACTGGTTTGGATAGGTTACTTGAGTTGAGCGCTAGGTTTTAGGTAATTGACCCTACTGGATTTAGATAGTTTAAAGGTGATTAAGTAGGCAGCATGTCGTTTAGGTGATTTTCGGGAGGGTTGAATTGACCTGCTGGTTCAGTTACGTCTTATGTGATTTGAGCAAGGCTGGTTTAGGGTTAGTTTAGGTTATATGGACCTGCTGGTTTAGGTGAATGACCTGCTGGTTTAAGATTAGTTTATTATGTGAATAGCTGCAGGTTTAAAAGGTAGTTATATGTGAACTTGACCATGCTGGTTTTAGGGTGATTTGACCGCTGGGTTGTTATACGTATTTTTATGTGATTGACATACTGGTTTAGTGAGGTTTAATTATGCATTAAGTAGCTGGTATTAGCAGTGATGTAGGTTGTGGATTAATTCTAGTCTTGTTTAGGTGTAGATGATCCTACCTGTGTTATGGTGATTGACCATGCATGGTTTAAGTAGGTTTTATGTGATTGAGCTGCGGTTTAAGGTGATTGACCTACAGAGAGTTTTTAGGTAGTTTAAGTGATTTAATCGGGCTGCAGGTTTAGGTAGTATTAATGTGATTTGACCTGCCTGGATTCAGGTGTAAGTATATTCGGTGCGTCAGAAAGAGCTGCAGTTTAATGGTTATTTATATGTTATTAATCAGCAGTTTTAGGTAGTTTAGTGATTGACACTAGGCTGGTTTAAGGCGTGAAAGACCTGCCGGTTATAAAGTAGATTAAAATGTGATTGAGCTGCTGTTTAGGGTTGTATAAACCGTACTGAGAATAGGTATTCGTTGTTTCATGTCATTTAAGCTGCCCTGGTTATAGGTAATTTAGGTGATTGAGCGACATCACCTGCGTGTTTTCCTATAGTTTAATTATAATGTGGATTGAGACTGCTTGTTTAGTGATAGTTATAGTGATGTGTAATGACCTATGCTGTTTAAGGGTTATTGCACCAGCTGGTTAAAGTAGTTAATGTTATTGAGCTGCTGGTTAAGGTGAGTGTATGTGACTGACCTGACAGGTTTATGTGATTGAGACCAACTGGTTTAAAGATAGTTAAGTGTAATGTGACTTACTGTTTAGGAGGTTATATTATGCGCTATAAGTACCTTGTTTAGATAATGGTTATGTGATTAAGCGCTGGTTTAGGTGTAATGACCAACTAGGTTTAGGTAGGTATTCTTATGTGATTAAGTCAGCCTGTGTTTAATGTAGATTTAGGGTGATTGACCTACTGTTAAGGTGATTGACCTCTGTTAAAGTAGTTAAAAAGTGGATTCAAGGAGGCTGCACAGTTCACAGTCGTAGTTAATGTGACTGAGACCTTCTTGTTAAGGTGAATTTCACCTACTGGTTCTAAGTTATTTATGTATGACTTACTGGACTAGGCGGTTTATATAATAGCGATATCAAGTAGGCTGGTTTAAGATCTAGTTCGGTTGTATTGTTGATTCAGCAGGTTAAGGTGATTGACCTACATGTATAGGTAAGATTTATGTTATTAAGCTGCTTGCGTGTTTATGTGATGATTGACCTAACTGGTTTTAAGGTATATAGTCTGATTAAAGTCAGGCTGTGTTTTATGATTTAATATGATGATCTGAACATCTGGTTTTAGGTGCTTGACTCAGCTGTTTAAGTAGTAACTGTAGGAATGCGCAGCTGGGATTACTGAAGTATTAGGTGATTGAGCTGCTGGTATACGGTCTTATAAATAGGAGGGAGAATTGACTGCTGGTTAGGGTAAGTTAAGAGTGATAGATCACTGGTATAGGTTAGTTTTATAGGTTATTGAATAATAGATTAGGATGTAGTTAATGGAGAATGACCTGTCTGGAATAGGTTATTTCAGTTATTCTTCTGTTGTTTTCGGTAAGTTTATATATTGTACCTGCTGGTGTATAGGGAAGTAGCCGGTATATTTATCTGCTAGTAGATTAAGGTAGTTCTGGATTATCCATTTCCTGGAAAGTTTTAGAGTAGATTTTTATGGGTGATCAGGAGCTTGTGAGTTTCGTTAGTTATTTATGTTATCCCACTGAAGGCCTTAGGCTGGTTTGAGTGGTGCATTAGGCAGAGAGAGTTTAGGTGGTTTAGGTGTATCGCAGCTTAAAGTTAATAGGTAATTTAGGTGTAATCGGTCTGTAAAGGTATAGAGGTGGATTTTGGGTTGGGTGACCTGCTGGTTTGGTAGTTTAATGAGATTGAGCTTTCTGTGAGATTTAGGTATGTTATAAGTTTATTTGAGCTGCTGTTTTTAGTTGATTGACCTACACTGGTTTAAGTAGTTTGTGATTGCGATGCATCTGAGTATTAGGTAGTTAGTTGAGAGTGACCTGCAGGTTTTAGGTACTTTAAGTGAATTTTACCTGCAGGTTTTGGATGTAAGTTTAGGGTGGATTAGAGCTGCTGGTTTAGGTAGTTTATGTGATTGACCTACTGGTTTGGATAGGTTAGGTGATTGAGCTGCTGGTTTAGGTGATTGACCTACTGGTTTAGGTAGTTTATGTGATTAAGCTGCTGGTTTAGGTAGTTTAGGTGATTGACCTGCTGGTTCAGGTAGTTTATGTGATTGAGCTGCTGGTTTAGGTAGTTTAGGTGATTGACCTGCTGGTTTAGGTGATTGACCTGCTGGTTTAAGTAGTTTATGTGATTGAGCTGCTGGTTTAGGTAGTTTATGTGACTGACCTGCTGGTTTATGTGATTGACCTACTGGTTTAAGTAGTTTATGTGATTGACTTACTGGTTTAGGAGGTTTATGCGATTAAGTAGCTGGTTTAGATAGGTTAGGTGATTAAGCTGCTGGTTTAGGTGATTGTCCTACTGGTTTAGGTGATTGACCTGCTGGTTTAAGTAGTTTATGTGATTGAGCTGCTGGTTTAGGTGATTGACCTACTGGTTTAGGTAGTTTATGTGATTAAGCTGCTGGTTTAGGTAGTTTAGGTGATTGACCTGCTGGTTCAGGTAGTTTGTGATTGAGCTGCTGGTTTAGGTAGTTTATGTGATTAAGCTGCTGGTTTAGGTAGTTTAGGTGATTGACCTGCTGGTTAAGGTGATTGACCTGCTGGTTTAAGTAGTTTATGTGATTGAGCTGCTGGTTTAGGTGATTAACCTACTGGTTTAGGTAGTTTATGTGATTAAGCTGCTGGTTTAGGTAGTTTAGGTGATTGACCTGCTGGTTCCGGTAGTTTATGTGATTGAGCTGCTGGTTTAGGTAGTTTAGGTGATTGACCTGCTGGTTTAGGTGATTGACCTGCTGGTTTAAGTAGTTTATGTGATTGAGCTGCTGGTTTAGGTAGTTTATGTGACTGACCTGCTGGTTTAGGTGATTGACCTACTGGTTTAAGTAGTTTATGTGATTGACTTACTGGTTTAGGAGGTTTATGCGATTAAGTAGCTGGTTTAGATAGGTTAGGTGATTAAGCTGCTGGTTTAGGTGATTGACCTACTGGTTTAGGTAGTTTATGTGATTAAGCTGCTGGTTTAGGTAGTTTAGGTGATTGACCTGCTGGTTTAGGTGATTGACCTGCTGGTTTAAGTAGTTTATGTGATTGAGCTGCTGGTTCAGGTAGTTTATGTGACTGACCTGCTGGTTTAGGTGATTGACCTACTGGTTTAAGTAGTTTATGTGATTGACTTACTGGTTTAGGAGGTTTATGCGATTAAGTAGCTGGTTTAGATAGGTTAGGTGATTGAGCTGCTGGTTTAGGTGATTGACCTACTGGTTTAGGTAGTTTATGTGATTAAGCTGCTGGTTTAGGTGATTGACCTACTGGTTTAGGTAGTTTATGTGATTAAGCTGCTGGTTTAAGTAGTTTATGTGATTGATCTGCTGGTTTAGGTGATTGACCTGCTGGTTTAAGTAGTTTAGGTGATTGACCTGCTGGTTTAGGTGATTGACCTACTGGTTTAAGTAGTTTATGTGATTGAGCTGCTGGTTTAGGTAGTCTATGAGATTGAGCTGCTGGTTTAGGTAGTTTATATGATTGACCTGCTGGTTTAGGTGATTGACCTGCTAGTTTAAGTAGTTTATGTGATTGACCTGCTGGTTTAGGTGATTGACCTGCTAGTTTAAGTAGTTTATGTGATTGACCTGCTGGTTTAGGTGATTGACCTGCTAGTTTAAGTAGTTTATGTGATTGAGCTGCTGGTTTAGGTAGTCTATGTGATTGACCTGCTGGTTTAGGTAGTTCAGGTTATTGATCTGCTGGTTTAGGTAGTTTATGTGATCCATCTGAAAGTTTAGGTAGTTTAGGTGATTGGACTGAAGGTTTAGGTAGTTTAGGTGATTGAGCTGCTAGTTTACATAGTTTTTGTGATTGACCTGCTGGTTAAGGTAGTAAAAACTAAAGGTTTATGTAATTTAGGTGAAACCTTAGCTAGTGTAGGTGATCATGCTAAAGGTTTAGGTAGTTTAGGTGATTGGGCTGAAGGTTTAGGTGGTTTAGGTTATCCAACTGAAGGTTTAGGTAGTTTATGTGATCAGGCTAAAGGTGTAGGTCCTTCCAGATTCTGATTGTGTTGCAGCTTGAGGTTAGTCCTCCGCTCTGAGGAACATCTGCTAACCGTTTGGTTTGTAGTCGTCTCTGAAAAGCTGCTTAAACGTAACGAATGTTCACAGTAGAAAACTGAGCAGGTCTGGAATAATGCGTGGCCTTTAACCTCTACCTTTCTCACCCCCCACCCCTCCTCCTCCTGCTGCTTCAGTTTGGCCCCGGGCCCCGACCTGTACACCAACAGGTACTAACAGTGACGGCAGGTGGTGGGGCGGGGCTCTCTGTCGTCACACAGTTTAGGTTCAACTTTGTTGTCTTAGAAAGGTTATCCAGACTGAAAATGAAAATCTTCTATGAATGTTTGTGTCTTCAGAGATGCATGAATTAGTGAATTAATCAGACGAGCAGCTGACTGTCCGCCTGTTACTCTGACAGAAGGGTTCCTAGGAACTCGGGTACTTTTTCAGTTTTCTGATGCTGCTGGAGACTAGGACCACCTAAACCATCGCCACCCCTACAAGCAGCACTGCTGCTGTTTTTCTCGCCGTTTTTGCCTTTTGGTCACCTTATTTTTTCTGTCGCCCTGTGTGTCTTTTGCCCCTTTTTTCTCTCCCTGTTTTGTCATTTCTCTTGCCATAAGTTTGTTGTTTTTGTCGCCTTGTATTTTTCGTGTTTGTCGCCCTGTTTTTGGGTCTCCATGGTGACCAGGTGTGTGTGTGTGGGTGGAGAGAGAGAGGAATCTGATCAGCAGCGAAATGAACTCAGTAGCTGGTTCTGAATGAACGGACGGGTTCTGTTAAGTCTGTGGTTCTGTTTGTTCCCTGCTGAAGGGAAGCCTCTACTCGCTGCAGGTAACTCTCCATCTCTTCTGTCCCTCCGTCCTGTTTCATGTGTGGTCTGGTTCTGGGTCTGGTTCTGGTTCTGGGTCTGGGTCTGGTTCTGATGGCCTTAGGCAGCATATAATGAGGCGGTTCTGCTTGGTCCGGCCCAGCAGCTGGATTCTGGACATAAATTGTGACCAGTTAGCCTAGCCATAGATGCTAGCTAGCTGTAGATGCTAGCTAGCCGTAGATGTTAACTAGCTGTAGATGCTAACTAGCGTAGATGTTAACTGGCTGTAGATGCTAACTAGCGTAGATGTTAACTAGCTGTAGATGCTAACTAGCGTAGATGTTAACTGGCTGTAGATGCTAGCTAGCGTAGATGTTAACTGGCTGTAGATCCTGTCTAGCCGTAGATGTTAACTAGCTGTATATGCTAACTAGCATAGATGTTACCTAGCCATAGATGTTAACTGGCTGTAGATGCTAACTAGGGTAGATATTAACTAGCTGTAGATGCTAGCTAGCCGTATATGTTAGCTAGCTGTAGATGCTAACTAGCGTAGATGTTAACTGGCTGTAGATGCTGTCTAGCCGTAGATGCTGTCTAGCCGTAGATGTTAACTAGCTGTAGATGCTAGCTAGCGTAGATGTTAACTGGCTGTAGATGCTGTCTAGCGGTAGATGCTAGCTAGCTGTAGATGCTAACTAGCGTAGATGTTAACTGGCTGTAGATCCTGTCTAGCCGTAGATGTTAACTAGCTGTATATGCTAACTAGCATAGATGTTACCTAGCCATAGATGTTAACTGGCTGTAGATGCTAACTAGGGTAGATATTAACTAGCTGTAGATGCTAGCTAGCCGTATATGTTAGCTAGCTGTAGATGCTAACTAGCGTAGATGTTAACTGGCTGTAGATGCTGTCTAGCCGTAGATGCTGTCTAGCCGTAGATGTTAACTAGCTGTAGATGCTAGCTAGCGTAGATGTTAACTGGCTGTAGATGCTGTCTAGCGGTAGATGCTAGCTAGCTGTAGATGCTAGCTCCTGTTGCCCCCATGGTTTGGGTTTTTTCCAGTGTAGCCAAAGGTTTTGTCTCCAATTGCTCCTCCTCTCCCGGGTTTCTGACGCTTTCCATCTCGTCCTCGCAGACCTTCTTCGGCAGCCGGGGCAGCCTGCCGTCCGGCACCGGGCCGCGGGGCGTCCCGCCCAGCACCGCTCCTCGGCCTGTGGCTTCTACCCACGTCTACCAGGCGGGCCCTGGATCCCAGATGATGATGATCCCCCAGCAGCAGCTGCAGTTTCCCAGCTCCCCTCAAGGCCCCGCCTACTTCATTGGACAGGTGTGTGTTTGGTTCCCTGCGATCACCTGGTGAAGCTGATCTGACCTGATCACGACTTTTTCCTTCTCTGGTTTAGTACCGCTCGCCGACCTACGTGGCCACCCCCCAGCAATACTCGGTCCCAACCGGAACCCCGGCTTTCTACCCCGGAACCAGCCCAGCTGAATACGGTACTTATGGTAAGAGGCTCTGCTGGGGCCTCAGCTGCGCCGTCAGGGGCGCCTCTAGAAATGTTTCATAGGGGGGCCAGATGGGGCCTCTTAAATTCTTGGGGTGGCACACAGAAACATCATTTCATGGTTTGTTCCACTGCCTGTGGAAAACTATCATAAAGATCTCAGTAAACAGCTACTCGCATCTTTAGGGCTTATAGTGAGATTATTGGTGTTACTACTGATCTAATGAGCGCAGAAATAAACCAGGTAACATTTTGAGTTGAACAATAGTTCTGTTTTATTTATATTTGAAATAAGTTGTACATTTTCTCTCCTCCTCCATCCTCTCCATTTCCTCCTTCTCTCACTCTCTCCTCCTCCTCCTCTCTCTCCTCCTCCTCCTTCTCTCTCTCTCTCCTCCTCTCTCTCCTCCTTCTCTCTCTCTCTCCTCCTCTCTCTCCTCCTCCTCCTTCTCTCTCTCTCCTCCTCTCTCTCCTCCTCCTTCTCTCTCTCTCTCCTCCTTCTCTCTCTCTCTCCTCCTTCTCTCTCTCTCCTCCTTCTCTCTCTCTCTCCTCCTCTCTCTCCTCCTCCTCCTTCTCTCTCTCTCCTCCTCTCTCTCCTCCCTCTCTCTCTCTCCTCCTCTCTCTCCTCCTCTTCCTTCTCTCTCTCTCCTCCTTTCTCTCCTCCTTCTCTCTCTCTCTCCTCCTCTCTCTCCTCCTCCTCCTTCTCTCTCTCTCCTCCTTCTCTCTCTCTCTCCTCCTCTCTCTCCTCCTCCTCCTTCTCTCTCTCTCCTCCTCTCTCTCCTCCTCTCTCTCTCTCCTTCCTCCTCCTCTCTCTCTCTCTCTCCTCCTCTCTCTCCTCCTTCTCTCTCTCTCTCCTCCTCTCTCTCCTCCTCCTCCTTCTCTCTCTCTCCTCCTTCTCTCTCTCTCTCCTCCTCCTCCATCCTCTCCTCCTCCTCCTTAATATTTCCCCTTTTCTTTCACTAACAAAATGAATCGACTTATTTACTTGCCGTTAGCGTTACACCTTCCTCGCCGTTACAGCGAGCGCGGCTGAAGCGCCATCAGCACCGCTCGCTGATATGGGGTAGGGGAGGGGGGAGGACAGGGAGAGCGGGTGCATAATGGGGGGAAACGCTAAACCCATGCTACTACAATCTACACTGGCCAGTGGGGGGGGCCAGGGCATAGCCTAGGGTGGCCATGGCCACTCCCACCTGCCCCCTGGTGGCGCCCTGCCTTAGATCAGAGATGATCCAGATGTTGGGCTTCGTTGTAGAAAGAGATTGCTGTGAGGAGGCCGTCTGTCCTACAACCTGGTGGTGGCAGTATGATGCTGTGGGAGAGCAGACGGCAGAATTCGTCTGTCTGCAACATCTGGAAACGGTTCTGATGCTCCACTTCTACCTGGACTCCTCTGACCTCAGCAGTCACTTCAGAGAGGATGAGCTGCGTAGCTTCCCTCAGCACCATGCAGCCTGCTCCCTGCTCTCCTGAAACCCTGAATGCAGACAAGTAGAGACGCGCCCCGCCTCGTCACACGCTTCATGACCCGTCCTGACCGTGATCCGACGTACTGATGCAACGATGCATCCGCCATGATTTAGTCTCACGCTGAGCATCCCAGCCTTTGGGCTTCAGGCCGTTCATCTCCTCCGTCTGAAGAACCAGCACAGCCTGCTCTGATTGGACGCCTGCAGCATCAGGACCTTCCTGTAGCCGCATGTGGGCGCCGTCAGGATGAACATCGCATACAATGAAGCAACGCTGTGGTGTGAAAAGGCTCCGCCTCCTTCCCGATTTAATGTCTTCAGACGAAGAGTTTCATCGGATGAATTTAAATATGAGAGGAAGGAACCAAAGGAAGAAAAATTACCTCAGCTGCTGCTCCTGTCAGGGGGGTTCAGCTCAGGACTTTGACTAGGCCACTACCATTTAGAGACTGCCGATCGGTCCAAGAGCGGTAACCATGGTGACGCAGACCGAAACGAACCACGCTAACCTTGTCCTGGTTGATCAGTAGGGCTGGGCGCGGTTCTCAATGAGCAGAGCGCCTCAGCTCCTTACAGTCAGGCTCGCTTCCTACCGCGCCGCGGTGTCCAGCGATGATTCTGCTTAGCAGGGAGATAAACCTCAACGTCAGTCGTTGTTTCCTGCGTCTGGAAGCCCTGATCAGACCATCGTTTGTCGTATCCACTTCCCATCAATCCTGGTGGGACTGTAGTACCGCTGTAGTACCGCAGATCTCCACTAGGAGGCCAGGAACCGTGCTACTGTGGCGTGGAGCCGAACTCGGCGCGTTAACTGATCCAAGCTCAGTCTGAACTCGCACGGCTAAACAGGCCCAGACCATCACACTGCCACCGCCGTGTTCTACTGTTGCTGCTCCTCTTACTCCAGATGTTTGGACAGACACAGATGTGCTGAACAGACCCAGGCGAGCCTCCACGGTCCTTTTGCTCAGCAGCGGTTCTGGTTCTGGTTCCAGTTGTGGTGGTGAAGGCCTGAACTTTGACCTTAAGTGAAGCGACGGGTTCTGCAGGTCTTTTGGTCTCTGAGACCTCCTGGGTCCCCCCCCGCAGAAGGTCTGGTTTGGTATGAAGGGAATTTCTGCACATCGGGATTTTAGGAAAAATGAAAAACTCATTTCTCAGTTTCTTCATGTCTGCTGGTTTCTGTGGGACAGAGTCCAGAAGATGCTGGTCCAAACTGGTCCAGGTTGTCTTCAGGTGTTAGATCTTCACCTCCTCTGGTCAGGTGATCCTTCGCGGCTTCATGGTTAATTTTAAACACTCTCCCACCCCCCGATGGGGGAGGAGCAAAGCAGAGAGGAGGCTGAGGGGGTCAGAGGAGGAACCCCGTTTGTGTCTCAGTACGCTGGAGTCCTCATGGGGAACCGAGGGTCACAGGAGCAGCAGCCCTCTGAGGGTAGGTGGACCCCCCCGCCTTCTGTCTGTCTGTCTGCTAACGGACGCCGTCTCCAGCCTGTGGGAGTTTTTGACTATATTTAGGCTGAGCTGTTCCTGGTTAGCTTGAAGCGAGGCAGAGCTGCTAGCTGCCTTTGGAAAGGGAACAGAGAGCAGGTGGGGGGGGGTCTGCCGTGTCGTCGTCTGGATCTGATTTCCAGGTCTGGAAGGATCTAGGATGTATGAAAACCTGTGAAGGTTCCTTCAGTTCTTTCTGTCCTTCCTGTTTTCTGGATTAAAACGTAAATATTTAAAGTTTGACTTTGGTGACGATAGTTTCCATAAATCAGTGACGTTGTTTCCAGATCATTAATGTTCCAGAAAAGACTGACAGTCTGAGTCTGGTTAAGTATTGACCTTCATTCTATTCTATTCATTTTATTTCTATAGATTCACATCAGATCATCTGAGGTGACTTTATAGATCCACATCAACCAGATCATCCAGTCAGATTGATTCAAAGTTTTCTATCTAAGGAAAACCAGCTGATTGCATCGACTCATTGACTCTTCAGCAATCCCTCACACTAAGCATGCTTGTAGCGACAGTGGAGAGGAAAAACTCCCTTTGAACAGGAAGAAACCTCCAGCAGAACCAGGCTCAGTGTGAGCGGCCATCTGCTGAGGCCCACTGGGGTTCAAGGAGACAGAAGCAGACATAGAAAAACTAAACTTAGAAAGGTAGTTTTAACACTTAGATGGAGCACATCTGGGACATGAATCAATCTTTCTCCTCTGATGATGAAGTTTTTGTTGCTGTGATAAATGAACATTAATGGCCGTCCTTCTGTAGCGCTCCACACTGCTGGTGTTGCCTTCACTGTCCCTCTTAAAACCAGCAGGTGTTTCAACCCACCCATCAGAGGACCAACCCGTACCTCTGGCCGCTAATGCTAATGCTAAACATGAAATCAGTGACATCATGTTTCCTCAGTTCATCCTTTAGATGTTTTACCAATTTCTTGGTTCACCTTTGATAGACTGAAGAGATTTGACCGATTCAGTCACAGATCTACATCATGTAATGGTTTCACATCTGGATTATAGACAGATGTAGCTTAGCATCATCAGCATAACAGTGGAGATTAATCCCATGCTGTCTAATAACTCTACTGATTGGGAGCAAATATATAATAAACCCGGTTCAGATTCCATTACTACCTCATATGCTGCCCCCCCCCCCCCCCCCCTTCAGAGACAAACCAATCGCGGATAGAGGAGTGCTGATGATCTGATTTTTAATAAGATCAATCTTATTTATAAAGAATACCATAAATCATTGCTGATGAGAGCAGGTGGAATGGACGGTTCAACAGAGCTATGGCTCTGGGTCAGTTTGGCAACTGTTTAAAAAAAAAATCTAGGATTCTTCTTATTCTCCTCTATTAATGAGGAGAAGTATGCTGCTCCTGCTTTATAAAGGCTCCTCTTATACAGCAGGAAACTATTTTCCAGACTAGGAAGGATCCCTGCAGGCCTGTGGATTCATCTAAAGGCTGCAGCATGACGTGGTGTTAAACACTGAAGCTCTGAGTTCTGGATGGTGAAACCATAACTAGTTATGCTTCTTCAATAATGGAGGTTAACGGAGTTTGAAGTATTTTCTATGCAGATTCCATCAGCGCCTCTGATGATGTGTCTCACTGATGTGTCGCATTTGAGCCGAGCAGCCAAACGTGTTTCTGCTTCATCCTCTACAGGGACCTACTACCCTGCACAGCCTCCTTTCCCCCCCTCTGTGCAGGCAGCACCCGTCATCATGAATCCGGCCCCCCAGCAGCAGCAGGCTCCGCCTCAGCCCCCTCAGCAGGTCCCCACCAAGCGGGAACGCAAACAGGTAGAGTTTCCAGTTCCTGATCCGGTCCTGATGATCGTTTTGAAGGGAAGCTCCTCCTCATCGTTGGGTTTTAGCGATCCGGTTAGTTCTGAAGCCTCAGTCGTCTGTTTAGGGCAGATCTTCCTCAGCGTTTCTGATTGTTCCGCCATCATCATCGTCATACCTTCTAAAGATGGTTGCCTAAGCTGCTTCGTGCTAATGGCCGCTTTGATGAGTCTGTGAGCCCCGCCCACCTCTCATGTGACCCAATCGATGATCTGGGAGGTTCATCTCCTCTAACGGCCTCTGCTTTCTGGTCCTGGACCCATCCTGGTTAACCCGGACCCATCCTGGTTAACCCGGACCCATCCTGGTTAACCCGGACCCATCCTGGTTAACCCGGACCCATCCTGGTTAACCCGGATCCATCCTGGTTAACCCGGACCCATCCTGGTTAACCCGGACCCATCCTGGTTAACCCGGATCCATCCTGGTTAACCCGGATCCATCCTGGTTAACCCGGATGACCCATCCTGGTTAACCCGGACCCATCCTGGTTAACCCGGACCCATCCTGGTTAACCCGGACCCATCCTGGTTAACCCGGATCCATCCTGGTTAACCCGGACCCATCCTGGTTAACCCGGACCCATCCTGGTTAACCCGGACCCATCCTGGTTAACCCGGATCCATCCTGGTTAACCCGGACCCATCCTGGTTAACCCGGATCCATCCTCGCACTCCTGACTTTCTTCTCCTTTCAACGCTGCGGTGTTTCCTGAAATGTCAGCAGTGGGCGGGGTCAGGTCAGATAGGAGCCCAGCCTGGCCTGGCTAAATGTTTTTATCTACGTAACGCAGCTGCTGCCGCCCAGCAGACGGGATGTTTGAGGAGGAACTGTGACGTCCTGCAGGCTGCGGTTCTGCTTATTTGGGTCGCAGTCGGTACCAGACCTGCTGGGCTGATCCTGACCTCTGAAGGACAGACTGAGCTCTGTCATCTAACAAGGCGACGCTAAAGACATAGTTTAAGGTGCTGTAGCTTAGTTTGGCTAACAGACGGAGCTAGCAGAGGCTAACCTGTTAGCTACTGAGCGCAGTTAGCCACCCAGCTGTGGCCTAACGGCTCCTTAGTTCTCCATAAACGGATCTTTTCCGTTTTATTATCAGCCAGGTAACAAAACTGAAAAACTGAAACATGGACCCGGCATTATGTCATCATCGTTGTCAGGGCAACCACGACGTTCTACGCCATCTTAGCAGCACGGACGGCCGCCATCATGCAGGATAAAGTCAGTCTGTTTCAGAAACAGCTTTGAGGGCGGCTCAGTTTCTGGATTCAGGGCTAATTTACGTCTCCTGGTTCCAGAAACGTCCAACAGTCCAAACCAGCAGCTCAGAAGCTGCTGCTAAGCCTGGCTGATGGGTCGGGGGTCCGCGCAGCTAAATGACGTCACGCTAGCTTCTTTGAGTTGGTCTTAATCAGCATGTTGATCCAGCTAAGCTAAGCTAACGTTGATTCAGAGAGAAAGTCCTGCAGGGAGGGGGCTGGAGGACATGTCAGCACATAGCTGAGGTCCACGTGGACTCTGGTCTCCTCCCCCCTCAGCCTGCAGGGCTGCTGCTGTGGCCCCCCCCCCCCTTCCTGCTCTAGTTCCTGTGCTTTCAGACGGTCTGATCTGCACAGAGTGCTGCAGAAGGGGAGTTTCTCCTACTAGCTGCTGCCTATTTGGTAACTTTCTCTGTGAGCTGGAAAGCGTCCCATTCGCCCTGCCATGCCCCTCCTCCCCTCTCAGGCCCCCTCTCGCTGTGGGCGGGGGTTCACATTCCTTCTCCACAGCTTTACAAGGCCAGGCTCTTTCTGCCTTTTTTTCCCTCCCTGCTCTGCTCAGCCCAGAACAGAGGCTTGATCAGGCTGCTAGCTAGCTTACTGAGAGACAGGCCTGGTTCTGGCCCGGTTCTGGCCCGGTTCTGAGTGTCATGGGACTAAGCTGCCGTGTATCCGTCCCTCTACCTGCTCTGTGGAGTTGAAAGTCCAGCATGAAGCCAGCAGGAGCTGAAGTTCTGCTGTGAGGCCCGCCGGCTCGGTGCTGCTCATGGAGCGGAGCAGGTAAAGGTCAGTAAGCAAACAGTTAGAAAGTAGGTCAGAGAGCAGCTGATTGAAACCAGTATAGACCAGTCTGAGCCCAGTAGCTGTCTGCTAGCACTTAGCTTCCTTACTGGGTCTGATTTCATAAACAGCACATGATCGACAGACGGAGAGCAGGACGGCTTCAGAGGAAGGCCGCTGCTGTCAAACCTGATTACGCTTCACACCATTTAGAAGCAGCAGCTCCCAGTCTGCTCCCAGTAGGGGGGGGGGGGTCTGCTCCCAGTCTGCTCCCAATAGGAGGGGGTCTGCTCCCAGCTGCTAACCCTCTGCTTTCACTCCACAGATCAGGATCAGAGATCCTAACCGAGGAGGCCAGGACATCACGGAGGAGATCATGTCAGGGGGCCGCAGCGGCTCCACCCCGACGCCCCCACAGGTGAGCTGCAGTAGCACACGGGGGTCTGGGGCAGACCTGAAGATCTGCTCCAGGTCCAGGTTCACAGCTGAGACCTGAAGATCTGCTCCAGGTCCAGGTTCACAGCTGAGACCTGAAGATCTGCTCCAGGTCCAGGTTCACAGCTGAGACCTGAAGATCTGCTCCAGGTCCAGGTTCACAGCTGAGACCTGAAGATCTGCTCCAGGTCCAGGTTCACAGCTGAGACCTGAAGATCTGCTCCAGGTCCAGGTTCACAGCTGAGACCTGAAGATCTGCTCCAGGTCCAGGTTCACAGCTGAGACCTGAAGATCTGCTCCAGGTCCAGGTTCACAGCTGAGACCTGAAGATCTGCTCCAGGTTCAGGTTCACAGCTGAGACCTGAAGATCTGCTCCAGGTCCAGGTTCACAGCGGAGACCTAAAGATCTGCTCCAGGTTCAGGTTCACAGCTGAGACCTGAAGATCTGCTCCAGGTCCAGGTTCACAGCGGAGACCTAAAGATCTGCTCCAGGTTCAGGTTCACAGCTGAGACCTGAAGATCTGCTCCAGGTCCAGGTTCACAGCTGAGACCTGAAGATCTGCTCCAGGTCCAGGTTCACAGCTGAGACCTGAAGATCTGCTCCAGGTTCACAGCTGAGACCTGAAGATCTGCTCCAGGTCCAGGTTCACAGCTGAGACCTGAACATCTGCTCCAGGTCCAGGTGCACAGCTGAGACCTGAAGATCTGCTCCAGGTCCAGGTTCACAGCTGAGACCTGAAGATCTGCTCCAGGTCCAGGTGCACAGCTGAGACCTGAAGATCTGCTCCAGGTCCAGGTTCACAGCTGAGACCTGAAGATCTGCTCCAGGTTCAGATTCACAGCTGAGACCTGAAGATCTGCTCCAGGTCCAGGTTCACAGCGGAGACCTGAAGATCTGCTCCAGGTCCAGGTGCACAGCTGAGACCTGAAGATCTGCTCCAGGTCCAGGTTCACAGCTGAGACCTGAAGATCTGCTCCAGGTCCAGGTTCACAGCGGAGACCTGAAGATCTGCTCCAGGTTCAGATTCACAGCTGAGACCTGAAGATCTGCTCCAGGTCCAGGTTCACAGCGGAGACCTAAAGATCTGCTCCAGGTTCAGATTCACAGCTGAGACCTGAAGATCTGCTCCAGGTCCAGGTGCACAGCTGAGACCTGAAGATCTGCTCCAGGTTCACAGCTGAGACCTGAAGATCTGCTCCAGGTCCAGGTTCACAGCGGAGACCTAAAGATCTGCTCCAGGTTCAGATTCACAGCTGAGACCTGAAGATCTGCTCCAGGTTCACAGCTGAGACCTGAAGATCTGCTCCAGGTTCACAGCTGAGACCTGAAGATCTGCTCCAGGTCCAGGTTCACAGCTGAGACCTGAAGATCTGCTCCAGGTCCAGGTTCACAGCTGAGACCTGAAGATCTGCTCCAGGTCCAGGTTCACAGCGGAGACCTGAAGATCTGCTCCAGGTTCAGATTCACAGCTGAGACCTGAAGATCTGCTCCAGGTCCAGGTTCACAGCGGAGACCTAAAGATCTGCTCCAGGTTCAGATTCACAGCTGAGACCTGAAGATCTGCTCCAGGTCCAGGTGCACAGCTGAGACCTGAAGATCTGCTCCAGGTTCACAGCTGAGACCTGAAGATCTGCTCCAGGTCCAGGTTCACAGCGGAGACCTAAAGATCTGCTCCAGGTTCAGATTCACAGCTGAGACCTGAAGATCTGCTCCAGGTTCACAGCTGAGACCTGAAGATCTGCTCCAGGTTCACAGCTGAGACCTGAAGATCTGCTCCAGGTTCACAGCTGAGACCTGAAGATCTGCTCCCGGTCCAGGTTCACAGCGGAGACCTAAAGATCTGCTCCAGGTCCAGGTTCACAGCTGAAACCTGAAGATCTGCTCCAGGTCCAGGTTCACAGCTGAGACCTGAAGATCTGCTCCAGGTCCAGGTTCACAGCGGAGACCTAAAGATCTGCTCCAGGTTCAGGTTCACAGCTGAGACCTGAAGATCTGCTCCAGGTTCACAGCTGAGACCTGAAGATCTGCTCCAGGTTCAGGTTCACAGCTGAGACCTGAAGATCTGCTCCAGGTCCAGGTTCACAGCTGAGACCTGAAGATCTGCTCCAGGTCCAGGTGCACAGCTGAGACCTGAAGATCTGCTCCAGGTCCAGGTGCACAGCTGAGACCTGAAGATCTGCTCCAGGTTCACAGCTGAGACCTGAAGATCTGCTCCAGGTCCAGGTTCACAGCGGAGACCTGAAGATCTGCTCCAGGTTCAGATTCACAGCTGAGACCTGAAGATCTGCTCCAGGTCCAGGTTCACAGCGGAGACCTAAAGATCTGCTCCAGGTTCAGGTTCACAGCTGAGACCTGAAGATCTGCTCCAGGTTCACAGCGGAGACCTAAAGATCTGCTCCAGGTCCAGGTTCACAGCTGAGACCTGAAGATCTGTTCCAGTTCCAGGTTCACAGCGGAGACCTAAAGATCTGCTCCAGGTTCAGGTTCACAGCTGAGACCTGAAGATCTGCTCCAGGTTCACAGCTGAGACCTGAAGATCTGCTCCAGGTCCAGGTTCACAGCGGAGACCTAAAGATCTGCTCCAGGTCCAGGTTCACAGCTGAGACCTGAAGATCTGTTCCAGTTCCAGGTTCACAGCGGAGACCTAAAGATCTGCTCCAGGTTCAGGTTCACAGCTGAGACCTGAAGATCTGCTCCAGGTTCACAGCTGAGACCTGAAGATCTGCTCCAGGTTCACAGCTGAGACCTGAAGATCTGCTCCAGGTCCAGGTTCACAGCTGAGACCTGAAGATCTGCTCCAGGTCCAGGTTCACAGCTGAGACCTGAAGATCTGCTCCAGGTTCACAGCTGAGACCTGAAGATCTGCTCCAGGTCCAGGTTCACAGCTGGGACCTGAAGATCTGCCTGTTTTCTCCCTCAGACGTCTGGACCAGAGAGCCCGGCGCCGCCTCAGGCCAACGGTGAGAACATCTCAGCATCAGCAGCCCTGGGGGGACTAGATGGAGCAGGTGGGGGCCCCGTGCGTCTCGAGGTGGGGGGGGGGGGTTTGACCAGAGTTAACGGACGTTATTTTGTCTTTCAGATGACGGCGGGAAGCTAACGCCGCTCTCTCTGACCCCTGAGCTCGCCAAGGTGGACACCCCCCTGACGGAGGCCCCTTCCTCTGCCCCCCCTCCACTCTCACACACCTCTAACCCAGCCCCCAGTGATGTGATGGATGCCCCGCCCCCTCAGAGAGGCCCCTCCCCCCCAGTAGCTCCTGAGGTTCCTGCCTACCCTGCACCACTGCCTGAGCCGGCCCCCCCCAGCAGCTGTGCAGCAGAGGGGGAGGAGCCAGAGGAAGGCGTGGTGTCCGTGGAGCTGTCCCTCAGCTCAAACGGCGTGGCAGACCTGGACTCAGAGGGGTCCCCCCCTCAGTCAGAGGACGCCCTAGAATCTCCCATCGTTCAGCCCGAGGAGCTCCGTTTACCCAACGGCCTCCAGGCCCCACAGCGCCCCCCTGCAGCCGCCGCAGCCGAGCGCCACGACAGCCCGATAGCCGAGCCTGATCTGAGAGAGGAGGCCGGCCCACCTAGCTCACAGCCCGCTATGGCCACGCCCACTGCCGCTGAGCTGGTACCATCTGTTGCTACTGAAACCCGGACTGAAACCGATCAGCCGGAGCCACAGGACGGCGTCTCCAAGGACGTCCCTGAGGCTCCGCAGCCTGACGCCAAGGAGGAGACGCCATCTCCCACAGAGACGGTTTCCTCTACTCCTCCTCCTCCTCATGTTCCTGCTCCTCCCACAGTGGAGGAGAAGGATGCTCCCAGTCCTCCTGCCGTCACCCCCTCCCCTGTAGAATCTACTATGCAAGGTCAGTCTGTAGAAGCAGAGCTGCCGCGTGTTTGCAGACAGAAAGCCTGAATGTGCTCCTCTCTGCAGCTGCTCTGTCTGTGCCAAAGAAGAAGAGGAAGATGAAGGACCTGAACAAGAAGGAGGCGGTTGGAGACCTCCTGGATGCCTTTAAAGAGGTCTGTTCCCCCTGAACTCAGGTGGAGTCCTGTAGGGGGCCGGGGGCCCGTATGAAGCTCGCATCTACGGGTAGAAAAAAACCCAAAACCATTATTTATGAATTAAAGATGTTAAAGACGTAGCCTTAGCTGTACTTATCCCGTGGGATTATTCCTTCAGGGAAACGCTGGATAATTAGGGTATAGTGGTTACAGCATGAATTAAACTTGTTTTTATTTTCTGACTTATTAACTCTACATCTTAAAAAATAAACTGATTGAAGAATAGCCATATATCAGGATTTTATTTAAGCAACGAGGCAAACCTGTTAATCTGGGAATGAACCTTCAACCAATGAACAGCTGTTAACATCCGGGCCGGGTAATAAATGGGGGTAATTGTGGGTAAGGGGTCGTACTTCAGTATTCACGGGTCAGTGCGGTCCGGGCCGGGTAATAAATGGGGGTAATTGTGGGTAAGGGGTCGTACTTCAGTATTCACGGGTCAGTGCGGTCCGGGCCGGGTAATAAATGGGGGTAATTGTGGGTAAGGGGTCGTACTTCAGTATTCACGGGTCAGTGCGGTCCGGGCCGGGTAATAAATGGGGGTAATTGTGGGTAAGGGGTCGTACTTCAGTATTCACGGGTCAGTGCGGTCCGGGCCGGGTGATAAATGGGGGTAATTGTGGGTAAGGGGTCGTACTTCAGTATTCACGGGTCAGTGCGGTCCGGGCCGGGTAATAAATGGGGGTAATTGTGGGTAAGGGGTCGGGTCTCGGTTCTGAACTCTACAAGTGCGGGTGATCCAGTCTAGAGAAATCAGACCCGTCCAGGACTGTGCGGTCTAAGGAGACCTGCCTTCCAGAAACGTCTCTCATCTTTTGTCCATCAGAGCCGGTTTATTTCAAACATGGCTGCCTAAAGTTGGCCGATCGATTAAGATGAGGCTAAACAGGAAGTCATGTTGGCGTGTTTGATGAACCTTGTTCAATGCTTCCAGGTGTGAAGAACACTTGTAGGCGTGTTTCTGTTCTGCGTTCTGATAACCTCGGCCAGATGCCGATGCCTCACAGTTTAAATCTACTTCCTGCTATCATCCAGGAGCAGGTAGCTGCCCGACCCGAGCCTGAGCCGGCGCCTGCCCCCCCCTCAGAGCCAAAGCCCCCTATTGCAGCCCCCCTACTCCAGGAGGAGGCCGACCTGACCTGGGAGGACAAAGAGGACAAGCTGGACGCCGAGAACATTCAGTCTGCTTCTACCGACAAGAAATACCAGTACAAAGAGGGTGGGTGTGACGGTGGTGTTGGGGGTTATGGGGGGTGTATTGGCTGACTTGTTCTATCTGCTGCAGATCTGTCCAAGCCAATTAACAGAGAGGAGAAGAAGAAATACGACAGACAGTTCCTCCTTGAGTTCCAGTTCAGCTCCGCCAGCATGAACAAGCCTGAAGGTCTGCCGGCCATCAGCGACGTTGTCCTGGACAAGGTGCTGACCCCCCCGGTTTCCATGGAGATGACGACAGACAGAAACTGTTCAGCTGAAATAAACTGTTTTTTTTTCATCAGGCCAACAAGACTCCTCTTCGCCAGTTGGACTCCAGCCGCCTCCCAGGGATGAACTGTGGCCCTGACTTCACGCCCTCCTTCGCCAACCTTGGCAGGCCTGGAATGGGGGGAGGAAGCCGAGGACCTGTGAGTCACCGGCCCCTGAATGTGGGCCATGGTGTGTTTCTCAGTCCTCACCCTGATGATGCACTCCGTCTTTCTCTACAGCCCCCTGGAATGGGCCTTGGGGTGGGCGTGCCCCGACGGTCCCAGCAGGTCCCCAGGAAGGAGCCGAGGAAGATCATCACCAGCATGTCGCTCAACGACGACGTGCAGCTGAACAAGGCGGAGAAGGCTTGGAAACCGTCGGTAAAGAAAACGACTCGGAGCCGAGAGGCCGAGCAGCCGCAGGAGAATGACCCCGAGCAGATGAAAACCCAGGAGCTGTTCAAGAGGGTCCGCAGTATCCTCAACAAACTCACCCCCCAGAAGTTCCAGCAGCTGATGAAGCAGGTGCAGGAGCTGACCATCGACACCGAGGAGAGGTTAAAGGGCGTCATCGACCTCACCTTTGAGAAGGCCATCTCCGAGCCCGACTTCTCTGTGGCCTACGCCAACATGTGCCGCTGTCTCTCAGGGGTAAGCTACGCTACACCATGCTAGGAGAGGCTAAGCTAATGGTTTAACCCTCCCAGCCTGTCGCGGTTTGACTGTTGCTGAGAAGTTGATTGATGAAGGCCTCCCTTTACACCGATACCCCCGATAAAAGCCAGGGTAGAGTCACCTCTTACGATTGGACCTGCAAAGATGGAGCTACCTCTACAGGGTACTACCAGAGCACTGCAAGAGCACTACCAGGGTACTACAAGGGCACTACCAGAGTACTACCAGGGTACTACCAGAGTACTACCAGGGCACTACCAGGATACTACCAGAGCACTACCAGAGTACTACCAGAGCACTACCAGGGCACTACCAGGTTACTACCAGGGCACTACCAGGGTACTACCATAGCACTACCAGAGTACTACCATAGCACTACCAGAGTACTACCAGAGCACTACCAGGGTACTACAAGAGTACTACCAGAGCACTACCAGGGTACATCCAGGGTACTACCAGAGCACTACCAGAGCACTACCAGGGTACATCCAGGGTACTACCAGGGCACTACCAGAGTACTACCAGGGTACATCCAGGGTACTACCAGGGCACTACCAGAGCACTACCAGAGTACCTCCAGGGTACTACCAGAGCACTGCCAGAGCACTACCAGAGCACTACCAGGGTACATCCAGGGTACTACCAGGGTACTACCAGAGCACTGCCAGAGCACTACCAGAGCACTACCAGGGTACATCCAGGGTACTACCAGGGCACTACCAGAGCACTACCAGGGTACATCCAGGGTACTGCCAGAGCACTACCAGGGTACATCCAGGGTACTACCAGGGCATTACCAGAGTACTACCAGGGTACTACCAGGGCACTACCAGAGCACTACCAGGGTACATCCATGGTACTACCAGAGTACTACCAGAGCACTACCAGGGTACATCCAGGGTACTACCAGGGCACTACCAGAGCACTACCAGGGTACATCCAGGGTACTACCAGAGCACTGCCAGAGCACTACCAGAGCACTACCAGGGTACATCCAGGGTACTACCAGGGTACTACCAGAGCACTGCCAGAGCACTGCCAGAGCACTACCAGAGCACTACCAGGGTACATCCAGGGTACTACCAGGGCACTACCAGAGCACTACCAGGGTACATCCAGGGTACTGCCAGAGCACTACCAGGGTACATCCAGGGTACTACCAGGGCATTACCAGAGTACTACCAGGGTACTACCAGGGCACTACCAGAGCACTACCAGGGTACATCCATGGTACTACCAGAGTACTACCAGAGCACTACCAGGGTACATCCAGGGTACTACCAGGGCACTACCAGAGCACTACCAGGGTACATCCAGGGTACTACCAGGGCACTACCAGAGCACTACCAGGGTACATCCAGGGTACTACCAGAGCACTGCCAGAGCACTACCAGAGCACTACCAGGGTACATCCAGGGTACTACCAGAGCACTACCAGAGCACTACCAGGGTACATCCAGGGTACTACCAGGGCACTACCAGAGTACTACCAGGGCACTACCAGAGTACTACCAGGGCACTACCAGAGTACTACCATGGTACTACCAGGGCACTACCAGAGTACTACCAGGGCACTACCAGGGCACTGCCAGAGCACTGCCAGAGCACTACCAGAGCACTACCAGGGTACATCCAGGGTACTACCAGGGTACTACCAGAGCACTGCCAGAGCACTACCAGAGCACTACCAGGGTACATCCAGGGTACTTCCAGGGCACTACCAGAGCACTACCAGGGTACATCCAGGGTACTGCCAGAGCACTACCAGGGTACATCCAGGGTACTACCAGGGCATTACCAGAGTACTACCAGGGTACTACCAGGGCACTACCAGAGCACTACCAGGGTACATCCACGGTACTACTAGAGTACTACCAGAGCACTACCAGGGTACATCCAGGGTACTACCAGGGCACTACCAGAGCACTACCAGGGTACATCCATGGTACTACCAGAGTACTACCAGAGCACTACCAGGGTACATCCATGGTACTACCAGAGCACTACCAGGGTACATCCAGGGTACTACCAGAGCACTGCCAGAGCACTACCAGAGCACTACCAGGGTACATCCAGGGTACTACCAGAGCACTGCCAGAGCACTACCAGGGTACATCCAGGGTACTACCAGAGCACTGCCAGAGCACTACCAGGGTACATCCAGGGTACTACCAGGGCACTACCAGAGCACTACCAGGGTACATCCAGGGTACTACCAGAGCACTGCCAGAGCACTACCAGGGTACATCCAGGGTACTACCAGGGCACTACCAGAGTACTACCAGGGCACTACCAGAGTACTACCAGGGCACTACCAGAGTACTACCATGGTACTACCAGGGTACTACCAGAGTACTACCAGGGCACTACCAGGGCACTGCCAGAGCACTGCCAGAGTACTACCAGGGCACTGCCAGACTACTACCAGGGCACTGCCAGACTACTACCAGGGTACTGCCAGAGTACTACCGGGGTACTACCAGGGCACTACCAGAGCACTACCAGGGCACTGCCAGAGCACTGCCAGGGCACTACCAGAGTACTACCAGGGCACTGCCAGAGTACTGCCAGGGCACTACCAGAGCACTACCAGGGCACTCCCAGAGCACTGCCAGGGCACTGCCAGAGTACTACCGGGGCACTACCAGGGTACTACCAGAGCACTACCAGAGCACTGCCAGGGTACTACCAGAGCATTGCCAGGGCACTACCGGGGTACTACCAGGGCACTACCAGGGTACTACCAGAGCACTACCAGAGCACTACCAGGGTACTACCAGAGCACTACCAGGGTACTACCAGAGCACTACCAGAGCACTACCAGGGTACTACCAGAGCATTGCCAGAGCACTACCAGGGTACTACCAGGTAGCAATGACTGATCCAACATCTATTCAATAATCTCTAGGGTCCATGTTCAGCTCCTGTCTCAGGCTCCTCTCCTGGGTCATGGGACCCATTACTCATCCTGCTGCTGGTTGATGCATTTCTTTGATCCCTTTAGTTCTGTTCATTTAAGAAAAATAATAATCCATGGATTAACTGCACTTCACCTAAAGCTGATAACCACCTACAGAAATTGTAATCTGCTAATTATTATTATAATATTAATAATAGAACTTTATTGATCTTACAATGGAGTAATTCCCTCTGCATTTAACCCCTCCCCCTGAGGAGCAGTGGGCAGCCATTGTGCGGCGCCCAGGGAGCAGTGTGGGGTTAAGGGTCTTGCTCAGGGACCCAGAATGGAGGCTGTGGGAGTGAAGAGTAAGTTCTATGCCCGGACTACTAGGCCGCCCCTCCCCTTATGAGAAATAAATGATCTACTGTTAGCTGCCGGGTTTAAAGGGACCCTGTTTACCACTGAGCCGAGCCCCTCTCTGTCAGTCTGATCTGGGTTCGCTTCGTCTCTGCCGTCTTCCTGCTTTTCTTATGCTTCTTTTTCTTTTCAGCTGAAGGTCTTAAACCCAGAAAAGCCCGGCTCTGAAGTAAATTTTCGCAAGCTGCTGCTAAACCGGTGCCAGAAGGAGTTTGAGAAGGACAAAGATGATGATGAGATCTTTGAGAAGAAGCAGAAGGAACTGGAAGCTGCCTCTGGGGTAAAGTTTGGTTCTGAACAGGAAGTCTTTGCTGTCATGGTTTCTGATCTTCATCCTAAGGCTCCGCTCTGTCTCTGCTAGGAGGAGGTGAAGCAGCGGCTGCGAGAGGAGCTGGAGGAGGCCAAAGACAAAGCCAGGCGGCGCTCCCTGGGCAACATTAAGTTCATTGGGGAGCTTTTCAAACTCAAAATGCTCACTGAGGTGATCATGCACGACTGCATCGTAAAGCTGCTCAATAACCATGACGAGGAGTCTCTGGAATGCCTCTGCAGACTGCTGTCCACCATCGGCAAGGACCTGGACTTTGAGAAGGCCAAGGTAGCAGAACCACACAGAACGTTCACTGAGGTGAGCTGGGGAGCAGAAGCTAACTGAACCTCTGTCCACTTTAGCCTCGGATGGACCAGTACTTCAACCAGATGGAGAAAATTATCAAGGAGCGGAAGACCACCTCCAGGATCCGTTTCATGCTGCAGGATGTGCTGGACCTCCGACGGGTAAATCTCTTTAGACATGCTTGATTCAAACAGATCTCAGAAGGAGAAGGAACTGTTAGATGTTGTCCCTGGAGAAGCGGCGCCAGTCTCTAACCGTTGAGATGCAGCGCCAGTCTCTAGCCCTGGAGAAGCGCCGCTGGTCTCTAACCGTTGAGATGCGGCGCCAGTCTCTAGCCCTGGAGAAGCGCCGCCGGTCTCTAACCGTTGAGATGCGGCGCCAGTCTCTAGCCCTGGAGAAGCGCCGCCGGTCTCTAACCGTTGAGATGCGGCGCCAGTCTCTAGCCCTGGAGAAGCGGCGCCAGTCTCTAACCGTTGAGATGCAGCGCTAGTCTCTAGCCCTGGAGAAGCGCCGCCGGTCTCTAACCGTTGAGATGCGCCGCCAGTCTCTAGCCCTGGAGAAGCGCCGCCGGTCTCTAACCGTTGAGATGCAGCGCCAGTCTCTAACCCTGGAGAAGCGCCGCCGGTCTCTAACCGTTGAGATGCAGCGCCAGTCTCTAGCCCTGGAGAAGCGCCGCCGGTCTCTAACCGTTGAGATGCGGCGCCAGTCTCTAGCCCTGGAGAAGCGCCGCCGGTCTCTAACCGTTGAGATGCGGCGCCAGTCTCTAGCCCTGGAGAAGCGCCGCCGGTCTCTAACCGTTGAGATGCAGCGCCAGTCTCTAGCCCTGGAGAAGCGCCGCCGGTCTCTAACCGTTGAGATGCGCCGCCAGTCTCTAGCCCTGGAGAAGCGCCGCCGGTCTCTAACCGTTGAGATGCGGCGCCAGTCTCTAGCCCTGGAGAAGCGGCGCCAGTCTCTAACCGTTGAGATGCAGCGCCAGTCTCTAGCCCTGGAGAAGCGCCGCCGGTCTCTAACCGTTGAGATGCGGCGCCAGTCTCTAACCCTGGAGAAGCGCCGCCGGTCTCTAGCCCTGGAGAAGCGCCGCCGGTCTCTAGCCGTGGTGAAGCGGCGCCGGTCTCTAGCCGTGGTGAAGCGGCACCGGTCTCTAGCCGTGGCGAAGCGGCGCCGGTCTCTAGCCGTGGCGAAGCGGCGTCGGTCTCTAGCCGTTGGGAATCGCCGCCGGTGTCTAGCCGTTCAGAAGCGCCGCCGGTCTCTAGCCATGGCGAAGCGGCTAGCTGTGGCGAAGTGCTGCCGGTCTCTAGCCTTGGAGAAGCGCCGCCGGTCTCTAGCCCTGGAGAACCGCCGCCGGTCTCTAGCCGTTGAGAAGCGGCGCCGTTCTCTAGCCGTTGAGAAGCTCCGCCTGTCTCTAGCCCTGGAGAACCGCCGCCGGTCTCTAACCGTGGAGAAGCGGCGCCGGTCTCTAACCGTGTAGAAGCGGCGCCGGTCTCTAGCCGTGGAGAAGTGGCGCCGGTCTTTAACCATGGAGAAGCGGCGGCGGTCTCTAGCCTTGGAGAAGCGGCGCCGGTCTCTAGCCTTGGAGGACCGCCGCCGGTCTCTAGCCCTGGAGAAGCGGCGCCTGTCTCTAGCCCTGGAGAAGAGGCGCCTGTCTCTAGCCGTGGAGAAGAGGCGCCGGTCTCTAGTCGTGGAGAAGCGCCGCCGGTCTCAACCCCTGAGAAGTGCCACCGATCCGCAGGTTTCTAGTCCTGGAGAAACGCCGCCAAACCGCCTGTTTCTAGCTCTGGAGAAGCGGCGCCGGTCTCTAGCCCTGGAGAATCTGCGCCGTTCTCTAGTCCTGGAAACCAGCTGGTTCCACCTCGTTATCCAGTCCCTCAGGTTCCTAGAAATGTTAGGAGGTTTTCAAAGTTCTTTGGGTTAAAACGGTACCAAACGGCTCCAGCCCCGGACCACCAACCCGTGGTTCAGCTGCACCCTGTACTGACAGGCTCTGGATGCTGGTCCCATTGACCCGTCCAGCTCACAGTGGTTCCTCTTCATCACTGTGGGCTTTCAGCGGAGAGTCATAATGGATCGTTCCCTTCCCTCCTAGAACAACTGGGTTCCCCGGAGAGGCGACCAGGGCCCCAAGACCATTGACCAGATCCACAAGGAGGCGGAGATGGAGGAGCATCGAGAGCAGCTGAAGGTCCAGCAGGCCCTCATCTCCAGGAAGGAGTCCGGAGGCCGAATGGGAGACAGAGGCCCTGGAGGTCGCGGTGGCCCTCACACCCCGGGGCGCGGCGCCCCCATCCAGGACGAGGGCTGGAACACCATCCCCATTTCCAAGAACCGGCCCATCGACACGTCCCGCCTCAGTAAAATCACCAAGGTAAGGCCAGACCCTCAACCAGAGGTTCCTGTCCTCCAACCCGCTTCTATCAGAACTTCCTCTCTTTCAGACCCCTGTGCTGGACTTCAACAATCAGCTGCTGGCCCCCGGGGGTAAAGGCACCTGGGGGAGCTGGGGGAAGGGCAGCAGTGGTGGCACCAGTACAAAACCTTCAGAACCTGGTAGGTTGTCCTCTTTGTGTGTCTGCTGCTTTGATGGACATGAAGCTGAGGCTCCTCTGTGGTTCTGGTTCCTCTGCAGGCCCCGAGTCCGGAACCCGTCCCACCACCAGCACTCTGAACAGGTTCTCCGCCTTGCAGCAGCCTTCGTCCTCAGCGTTTGACTCGGAGAGGAGAGCTCCTCAGAGGTGAGGCGCCGTGCTGTCAGTACTTTCTCAGTGGACCGGGCTGGTTCTATGATCCTCTCTTTATCGTGACCCGACAGGAACAGCTCCAGTATAGAGCGCGGCGACCGCTTCGACCGAGGCGGCGACCGTTTTGACCGGCGGGACGATCGCAACCGGGTCCAGGTCACAAAACGTAGCTTCAGTCGCGAGAAGGAGGAACGGAGCCGTGAGAGAGAGCAGCGCGGAACGGCCGACCCGGTTCGCCGGGTGGCCAGCGTGACCGAAGAACGTGAGAGAGGCATTGCCGAGCGGCCAAGGAGCAAGGAGCAAGGTGGTCGTGAGGGGTGGAGCTAAGATCAGGTTCTGGTTCTAATGTTTCTGGTTCTAACGGTTCTCCTCTGACCCGCCTCCAGCCAAGCAGCAGGCGGTCTCTCCTCCTCCGCCCACACCGGCACTGACGGTGGAGGAGCTGGAGAAGAAGTCAACGGCCATCATTGAGGAGTACCTCCACATCAACGACATGAAGGTACCGCAGCGGGTCCTAAAAGGGGTCCTGACCGCTGTCCGTGGTCCTGGTAGCTCAGTCCCCTCTGAGGCAGTCCGCTTTGTGTCCAACAGGAAGCCCTGCAGTGCGTACGGGAGCTACAGAGCCCGGAGCTGCTCTTCGTGTTCGTGCGAAGCGGCCTGGAGTCGACGCTAGAGCGCAGCACCATTGCCAGGGAGCACATGGGCCAACTGCTGCACCAGCTCATCAGAACCGGCATCCTGCCGACCCAGCAGTACTTTAAAGGGTTCGTCTGCGGCCGCTCAGGGTAAAGGCCACCATCAGCATGTTGTGAATGTTTTAATGGTGGAAGGTTCCTGCAGGTTCCAGGAGATCCTGGAGGTGGCAGAGGACATGGCCATAGACATCCCCCACATCTTCCTGTATCTGGCAGAGCTGATCGCCCCCATGCTGCATGATGGCGGCATCCCCATGGGACCGCTGTTCAGGTGACCCGCCTTAGAGCTCACCTCGCCTTTCTGCTGGGTCGGCTCCAGTGTTCTGATGTTCTGCTGCCCTCCTCAGGGAGATCTCCAAGCCTCTGATCCCTCTGGGCAAAGTTGGAGTCCTGATAGCCCACATCCTCACTCTGCTGTGCAAAGAAATGGTGAGAGCTACGGATCTGAAAGCGTTGGTTTGTCAGAGCCAGAACCAGACTCTCATCATGCATTCTGATCCAACCAGAGCCATAAAAAGGCTGGCACCATGTGGAGAGAGGCGGGGCTTAGCTGGACAGACTTCCTTCCTGAAGACGTGGACTTCAACAAGTTTGTGACGGAAAAGGTTAGTCCTCTAATGTCGGCCTAGAAGGTTCTGGACCAGAAGGACCCACCTGCTCATGGTTTTCCTGCTAACAGGAACTGAAATATGTCAGACGTAGGTTCAGCCGGTACCTAATGATGAGCAGGTCTCTCATGGTCTTCCTGAGCTGAAGGTGGTTCTTCTGGGGTTGAGCTGTACTCAGCTTGGGGTCTTCTTCTCTCCTCAGAACGTTGAGTTCACTCTGGGCGAAGGGTCAGAGAAGAGCAGGAAGGAGATGAGTCCTGCAGAGCTGAGCAAGCAGCTGGTCAGGCTTCTTCAGGACCAGGCAGACAACGAGAGGATTTTTGACTGGATCGAGGTCAGTAGTCCGAACGGTTCTGCTGGTCTGAAACTCTGGGTTCTGTAGGGTTTGATGCTCTGAAGGATGCACCACTCCACCGCCTAACTCTCCCTGTCATTCCTCTGGGGGGAACGTTCCTGTTTGCAGGCCAACCTGGACGAGCAGCAGATGTCGTCTAACGCGTTTATCCGAACCCTGATGACCTGCGTCTGTCAGTCGGCCATAATCTGTGAGTACTTTGCTGTTGGTTAGACTGGATCCAGTCCTGAACAGGCCAATGAGACTATTGCCTCTGCAGGTGAGACCCCGTACAAGGTAGACGGTGAGGTGATCAAGCAGAGGGCCAAGCTGCTGCAGAGGTACCTGAAGGACGAGCAGAAGGAGCTCCAGGCTCTGTACGGCCTGCAGGCCCTGATGGTGCAGATGGAGCAGCCTGCCAGTAAGCTCCTCAGATCAGCCTCCATCACTGCCACACATCTAGGCTCCCAGAAACCACCCACAGGTTCTATGAGATAAATGTCCTGGACTAACTGGACCACCTGGACTTACTGGACCACCTGGACTAACTGGACCACCTGGGCCAACTGGACCACCTGGACTAACTGGACCACCTGGACTCACTGGACCACCTGGGCCAACTAGACCACCCGGACTAACTGGACCACCTGGACTTACTGGACCACCTGGACTAACTGGACTACCTGGACCACCTGGACTAACTGGACCACCTGGACTAACTAGACCACCTGGACTACCTGGACCACCTGGACTAACTGGACCACCTGGACTTACTGGACCACCTGGACTACCTGGACCACCTGGACTAACTGGACCACCTGGACTAACTAGACCACCTGGACTACCTAGACCACCTGGACTAACTAGACCACCTGGACTACCTGGACCACCTGGACTAACTGGACCACCTGGACTAACTAGACTACCTGGACTACCTGGACCACCTGGACTACCTGGACCACCTGGACTAACTGGACCACCTGGACTAACTAGACCACCTGGACTACCTGGACCACCTGGACTAACCGGACCACCTGGACTTACTGGACCACCTGGACTACCTGGACCACCTGGACTAACTGGACCACCTGGACTAACTAGACCACCTGGACTACCTAGACCACCTGGACTAACTAGACCACCTGGACTACCTGGACCACCTGGACTAACTGGACCACCTGGACTAACTAGACTACCTGGACTACCTGGACCACCTGGACTACCTGGACCACCTGGACTAACTGGACCACCTGGGCTAACTAGACCACCTGGACTAACTAGACCACCTGGACTACCTGGACCACCTGGACTAACTAGACCACCTGGACTAACTAGACCACCTGGACTACCTGGACCACCTGGACTAACTAGACCACCTGGACTAACTGGACCACCTGGGCCAACTGGACCACCTGGACTAATTAGACCACCTGGACTACCTGGACCACCTGGACTACCTGGACCACCTGGGCCAACTAGACCAACTGGGCCAACTAGACCACCTGGACTAACTGGACCACCTGGGCCAACTGGACCACCTGGACTAACTGGACCAACTGGACTCACTGGACCACCTGGGCCAACTAGACCACCTGGACTAACTGGACCACCTGGGCCAACTAGACCACCTGGACTAACTGGACTCACTGGACCACCTGGACTAACTGGACCACCTGGACTAACTGGACCACCTGGACTTACTGGACCAACTGGACCACCTGGGCCAACTAGACCACCTGGACTAACTGGACCACCTGGACTAACTGGACCACCTGGACTAACTGGACCACCTGGACTTACTGGACCACCTGGGCCAACTGGACTACCTGGACCATCTGGACTCACTGGACCACCTGGACTAACTAGACCACCTGGACTCACTGGACCATCTGGACTCACTGGACCAACTGGACTTACTGGACCACCTAGGCCAACTGGACCACCTGGACTCACTGGACCATCTGGACTCACTGGACCACCTGGACTAACTAGACCACCTGGACTCACTGGACCATCTGGACTCACTGGACCAACTGGACTTACTGGACCACCTAGGCCAACTGGACCACCTGGACTCACTGGACCAACTGGACTCACTGGACCACCTGGACTAACTAGACCACCTGGACTAACTGGACCACCTGGGCCAACTAGACCACCTGGACTAACTAGACCACCTGGACTACCTGGACCACCTGGACTAACTAGACCACCTGGACTACCTGGACCACCTGGACTAACTGGACCACCTGAACTAACTAGACCACCTGGACTACCTGGACCACCTGGACTAACTAGACCACCTGGACTACCTGGACCACCTGGACTAACTGGACCACCTGGACTAACTAGACCACCTGGACTACCTGGACCACCTGGACTAACTGGACCACCTGGGCTAACTAGACCACCTGGACTAACTAGACCACCTGGATCTTCTTGGACCACCTGGACTAACTAGACCACCTGGACTAACTAGACCACCTGGACTACCTGGACCACCTGGACTAACTAGACCACCTGGACTAACTGGACCACCTGGGCCAACTGGACCACCTGGACTAATTAGACCACCTGGACTACCTGGACCACCTGGGCCAACTAGACCAACTGGGCCAACTAGACCACCTGGACTAACTGGACCACCTGGGCCAACTGGACCACCTGGACTAACTGGACCAACTGGACCACCTGGACTAACTGGACCACCTGGACTAACTGGACCACCTGGGCCAACTGGACCACCTGGACTAACTAGACCACCTGGACTAACTGGACCACCTGGGCCAACTGGACCACCTGGACTAATTAGACCACCTGGACTACCTGGACCACCTGGACTACCTGGACCACCTGGGCCAACTAGACCAACTGGGCCAACTGGACCACCTGGACTAACTGGACCAACTGGACCACCTGGACTAACTAGACCACCTGGACTAACTGGACCACCTTGACTAACTAGACCACCTGGACTAACTGGCCTCTGCCTACTAGACTTAGACTCAGCTTTATTAATCTCCTGGGATTACTCCTTCAGAGAGATTCTGGTTCAATTAGCACATATAGAGAACAAAATGCAAGATGCCATTAAAGATAAAAATACTGAATACTGTTAAATTAGGAGAAATGATCCACGCAGGAAATAAATGGAGATAATGTTTATTAAACCATCACCTCCTGACCCTTAGCTGACCCTCAGCTAGCCATGACCCTTAGCTGACCCTCAGCTAGCCATGACCCTGAGCTGACCCTCAGCTAGCCATGACCCTTAGCTGACCCTCAGCTAGCCATGAGTCTGAGCTGACCCTCAGCTAGCCATGACCCTGAGCTGACCCTCAGCTAGCCATGACCCTTAGCTGACCCTCAGCTAGCCATGACCCTTAGCTGACCCTCAGCTAGCCATGACCCTGAGCTGACCCGCAGCTAGCAATGACCCTGAGCTGACCCTCAGCTAGCAATGACCCTGAGCTGACCCGCAGCTAGCAATGACCCTGAGCTGACCCTCAGCTAACCATGACCCTGAGCTGACCCTCAGCTAGCCATGACCCTGAGCTGACCCGCAGCTAGCCATGACCTTTAGCTGACCCTAAGCTAGCCATGACCCTTAGCTGACCCGCAGCTAGCCATGACCTTTAGCTGACCCTAAGCTAGCCATGACCCTTAGCTGACCCGCAGCTAGCAATGACCCTTAGCTGACCCTCAGCTAGCCATGACCCTGAGCTGACCCGCAGCTAGCCATGACCTTTAGCTGACCCTAAGCTAGCCATGACCCTTAGCTGACCCGCAGCTAGCCATGACCTTTAGCTGACCCTAAGCTAGCCATGACCTTTAGCTGACCCTCAGCTAGCCATGACCCTTAGCTGACCCTCAGCTAGCCATGACCCTGAGCTGACCCGCAGCTAGCAATGACCCTGAGCTGACCCTCAGCTAGCAATGACCCTGAGCTGACCCGCAGCTAGCAATGACCCTGAGCTGACCCTCAGCTAACCATGACCCTGAGCTGACCCTCAGCTAGCCATGACCCTGAGCTGACCCGCAGCTAGCCATGACCTTTAGCTGACCCTCAGCTAGCCATGACCCTTAGCTGACCCGCAGCTAGCCATGACCTTTAGCTGACCCTAAGCTAGCCATGACCCTTAGCTGACCCGCAGCTAGCCATGACCCTTAGCTGACCCTCAGCTAGCCATGACCCTGAGCTGACCCGCAGCTAGCCATGACCTTTAGCTGACCCTAAGCTAGCCATGACCTTTAGCTGACCCTCAGCTAGCCATGACCCTTAGCTGACCCTAAGCTAGCCATGACCTTTAGCTGACCCTCAGCTAGCCATGACCCTTACCTGACCCTCAGCTAGCCATGACCCTTAGCTGACCCTAAGCTAGCCATGACCCTGAGCTGACCCGCAGCTAGCCATGACCTTTAGCTGACCCTAAGCTAGCCATGACCCTTAGCTGACCCTCAGCTAGCCATGACCCTTAGCTGACCCTCAGCTAGCCATGACCCTGAGCTGACCCGCAGCTAGCCATGACCTTTAGCTGACCCTAAGCTAGCCATGACCCTTAGCTGACCCTCAGCTAGCCATGACCCTTAGCTGACCCTCAGCTAGCCATGACCCTTAGCTGACCCGCAGCTAGCCATGACCCTTAGCTGACCCGCAGCTAGCCATGACCCTTAGCTGACCCGCAGCTGGCCATGACCTTTAGCTGACCCTCAGCTAGCCATGACCCTTAGCTGACCCGCAGCTGGCCATGACCTTTAGCTGACCCTCAGCTAGCCATGACCCTTAGCTGACCCGCAGCTAGCCATGACCTTAAGCTGACCCTCAGCTAGCCATGACCCTTAGCTGACCCTCAGCTAGCCATGACCCTTAGCTGACCCGCAGCTAGCCATGACCCTTAGCTGACCCGCAGCTAGCCATGACCCTTTGCTGACCCGCAGCTAGCCATGACCTTTAGCTGACCCTCAGCTAGCCATGACCCTTAGCTGACCCTCAGCTAGGCATGACCCTTAGCTGACCCTCAGCTAGCCATGACCCTTAGCTGACCCTCAGCTAGCCATGACCCTGAGCTGACCCGCAGCTAGCCATGACCCTTAGCTGACCCTCAGCTAGCCATGACCCTGAGCTGACCCGCAGCTAGCCATGACCCTGAGCTGACCCTCAGCTATCAGAGGGAAAGGGCTGAGGACAGGAACACACCACACCTTTCAGATCAAGCCATGACAGTTTTTCCTTCTGCAAACAGAAGCTTGGTGGTTTACTGGTTGACTCAGCTTAGCCTCGCTCTGAACGTTTGCCTCTGTCGTCCATCAGATCTGCTGCGGATGTTCTTCGACACGCTTTATGACGAGGACGTGATCAAAGAGGAGGCCTTCTACAAGTGGGAGTCCAGCAAAGACCCCGCCGAGCAGCAGGGAAAAGGCGTGGCCCTCAAGTCCGTCACTGCTTTCTTCACGTGGCTCCGCGAAGCAGAGGAGGAATCCGACAACAGCTAGGAGAACCTGGAGGAACCTGAAGCCTGGCGTGGAGGCTGGGAAGGAGAGCCTGAACCTGGAAGCTCCTTCAAATGGGACAGATTGTATTTTGGATTCAAACTTTCAGATGTTTTCTTGGTTCCTTTTGTTTTTTTGTGGTTTCTAGTTTTCACCCTTGGCAGCAGAATGTCTGATGAGAACTACAGGATTAGAGAAGCTAAGATGGAGATGCTGCTGCTGCGAAGTTTGTTTGCGTTTGCTCAGCGCAGCGCAGCGACACTAAAGGCGCCATCCAGCGCTGCCACGTCTATTTTTAATGATGGCTGAGCTGCATGATGAGCTTCTTTAAAAGAGGAGCAGCTGAGTTTCTGACTGGAAAAACTTTTATAAGAAAATAATAAAACTACAAAGAGGAACACCGAGGGCGTTTTTCCGTTTCAGACACGGCTGTGACCTTTGGCCTCTGAAGGATGACGCCGCCGCGTCGCCCTGAAGCAAAGTGGACTGTAAACCTTCAGCGTTGGTTTTAAAAAGAAACATGTATTTTAAAACCAAGTTTAGCTGCAGATCCTTCAGTGGATCTAAGGGAGAGTCGTGTAAATAGCAGATGGAGCCTCACTTCTCCTGTATTTATAGTTTCTCTCCTCAGAAGGTGCACCCATTGATTACAGTTTAATTGAAAATGTGTAAATACTTTTGCTTTACTTTATTAAAAAGGTATTTAATTAAAGAAACTTGATGATTTAGATTGAGAGAAACGGCTGAAAGTGACCAGGAGCAGCGGACCTCCGTCACACGCTTCCTTCTTTCACGCAGGTGAGTTTGAAGACGTTCCCAAACCTCCAGTCCGGCTTCAGGATCCGTCTTTTTACCAGACATGTCCAAAGTTCCCACATTCTACAGAAAGACGGCAGAAAGAACCTATTAACTCCTCAGAGGCAGGAAGTACAGCTTCTACAAAGCAAAATCGACTTTTTTTCATTAAATAATAGAAAATAACTGATATATTGAAGCTTTAAGCACAGAAAGGCTAATTTGATGCTCTATACCTGATTCTGCTCATGGTGGAGAATCCTGCTTCACAGCAGCAGGTTGAGCCAAACATCCTCTAAATGTGCAGGGTCATCTTTGAGCACGCCATTTCACTTTTCTTTCACCAGTTCACCGCAGTTCTTCCAGCAGTCCACACTTTCTCTGCTCTCTTTTTCTCATGGTCTTCTCCTTCTTTCCCATCGCCCGGCTTGCCACAGGTTTGCCTGCTGTGTCTAAAAGTAGCAGCAGCAGCAACCCAGACTGACAGCTCATTGGCTCATTTGGATCACGTGCAGCCTGGAGCCGGACGCTCCCCAGGGCTTTACCGTATTAACTGGAGAAGAGGAGCAGGTGAAATTAGACACTGTCATCAGACAACATGCGGTAATTTATAAATGTTTTAAATCAGGTTGGGTCCAGATTAACCAGCAGGTGGGTCTGGATCCGGATCGCGGTCCGCTAATCCGTGACCTCTGGACTAGAATATTTCAGCCGAACATCAGTCAGGGCCTGAACGTCAGGAAAGAAAAGTTTACTCCAGAGTTTTACAGACAACCAGAGAAAAACACCTGAGAAATTAACTAATAGCCTTCATGTTTACATCTCAGTGTTTCAGGTTTCTCTAAATTAATCCAGTTTAATCTGGATTTAATCCACCGAGGCTTTCAGCTCATTTCCCAGTTTTTGACTTTTGACAACTTTTATTGTCATGTTGTATATAAAATGTCTTTTAGTTCAGCTTTCAGACAGTAAATGAACATTTTCATTCATAAAGTGCAGCAGTGATCAAATGCAAACAGTGGGAGGAAAAACATGGAACAAAAATCAATGATGTGGAATTTCAGAGCTTTGCGAAAACAAACATCTATGATAGAAAAATGCAGAAAAACATGGAGTCCATTTCTGTTTGGTTGGTTTTGTTGCCCCCCCCCCCCCCCCCCCCCCCCCGAAAAAACATTTGCAGCCAGATGTTTTCATTGAGTTTAATATCTGGACCATTATTCTCTGAAGGACTCTGGGTTTGAACCAGCGTCTTACCTTGAAGGTTGACCTTTGACCCTTTGGTCATCCAGATCAGTTCAGGAGCCGCTCCTGGTTCCAGCTGTTTGAAACGTCTAAACTCCTCGTTCTCTGATCATTTATCAGTTTTCTGTGTATTTTTAATCATTTCAGCTCATTTTCTGCACACATTCAACTAGTTTTTGAAAATAAGTTTATAAAGATATATTTTGCTTTTGGTCTATTTAGCTTTTGAGATCTGTTACCTTCAAAATACTTTGTTTTTCTTACTTGCAGATGTTTGTAGGCCTGAAGCTAACTGTAGAGCTAACCGTTAAGCTAACCATCGAGCTAACTGTGGAGCTAACCATCGAGCTAACTTTTGAGCTAACCGTGGAGCTACATCTTGAGCTAACCATGGAGCTAACCGTTAAGCTAACTATGGAGCTAAACTTGGAGCTAACTGTTGAGCTAACCGTGGAGCTAAGTGTAAAGCTAACCGTTGAGCTAACTGTGGAGTTAACCGTTGAGCCAGCTGTTGAGGCTAACTGTTGAGCTAATCGTGGAGCTAATAGTTGTGCTAACCATGGAGCTAACCGTTTAGCTAACCGAGGAGCTAACCGTTGAGCTAACCATTTAGCTAACTGAGGAGCTAACTGTGGAGCTAACTCTTGAAGCTAACTCTTGAGCTAATCGTGGAGCTAACCATTTAGCTAACCGTTGAGCTGACCATTTAGCTAACCGAGGAGCTAACCGTTTAGCTAACTGAGGAGCTAACGTTAAGCTAACCGTTTAGCTAACCGAGGAGCTAACCGTTGAGCTTACTCTTGAAGCAAACTCTTGAGCTAACTGTTGAGCTAACTCTTGAACTAATCGTGGAGCTAACTCTTGAGCTAACCGAGGAGCTAAACGTGGAGCTAACTCTAGAACCTAACTCTTGAGCTAATCGTGGAGCTAACCTTTGAGCTAACCGAGGAGCTAACCCCTGAGCTAACCGAGGAGCTAACTGTTTAGCTAACCGTGGAGCTAAGTCTTGAAGCTAACTCTTGAGCTAATTGTGGAGCTAACCATTTAGCTAACCGTTGAGCTAACCGTGGAGCTAACTGTGGAGCTAAGTCTTGAAGCTAACTCTTGAGCTAATTGTGGAGCTAACCATTTAGCTAACCGTTGAGCTAACCGTGGAGCTAACTGTGGAGCTAAGTCTTGAAGCTAACTCTTGAGCTAATTGTGGAGCTAACATTTAGCAAACCGACAGGAGGGACTGAAAAAAGAACTTCATGCATGAATCATTAGAAGTTTTGTTAAAATGAATCTGAGTCTTTTGATGAAGAGTTCTATAAATTTGACATTAATTTCAACCAAAGTGTCAAAGGAAGGAAAAAATACACGACAGAAAAGACAATAATCCAGCAGATTTACTCCTCAGATGAAGGATGGGTGAAAACCAAAGCAAAGCTTTATATAAACAGAGAAATATCAGAGGTGAGGTGAGGCCACCATCCGCTGCTTGGGACCATTTCCTTCCAGCTCAGCTGATTGAGCTGCAGGATTTCCAGCATATTTCTGATTCCATCCATTCAGACGTGTTGCTGAACATCAGCAGCTTCAATAAACGCTCAATTTAATAATCTTTGAGTCCTCCTCTTCTTCCAGGGTCACCAGCTGTGGATCCTGGATGCTCCCAGACTTTTGCACCGACCTGCCCTCGGCTGCAGCGCCTCGTGTCACAAGCTGCATCTGCAGCTGTTCTGCACATCCAAGGCTCTTTGAAGTTGCTTTTCTTTACACTAATATTAGGCACTTTGGCGCCATGTGGCCCCTTGATCGGGGATGCAGAGATAAACCTGATGGAGGCGACAAAGTGCCATCATGGTGGGTTCAGGCCTGCAGCGCTGCAGGAGCTGCTGAGCTCAGACTTTAGTGTTTCCTCTGTTGTTCCACCAGCTGCCCTAAATCAGCCACAGCGACGGCCTGGTTCTCTGAACCATTCAAATTAGGAAAACATCAGGAATCCTTCGCTTGGAGCAAAAGCTTCGCTTTCTGTCTCCAGTTTGGCCAGTATGGCTCAGAGGAAGAGACGTCCCACAACCAGCTGATAGCCCAACAGACCAGGATGACTGAAGCCACAAGGTTCCACTTGATGCATGTTTATCACAAATTATTTAGGGAGTAAAACTGAATAATGGAAAGGGGGGGATAAGAACTAAGGAGTGAGGAAAGGGTGCATGAAAAGAGAGAAAACAGCAAAAATAGAGACAGATGATCTAGAGAAGCTTCTAGAAGTCTGCTTCTACACCTGGAGGAGGCAACCGAAGATCAGGAAGCTTCCAGAGCAGCAGGTACCAGGTGAGTGGAAGGAAAACCTGTGGTGATTCCTCACCATCATTCACCGTGGAATTTAGCTGCAGCTCAGTGTTTAGGATTAGTGTGAATCTGTGAACATCTGGAAACAAATGCACGAGCATGCTGGTGTAAAAATCATTCCAAAAGCTAAAATATGCTCAATAGCAGGCGTGGGCGGCCCCAGACCGGCCCTACAGGCCCCTGGACAGACAAAAGGCGACAGGAGTCCCAGAGGGACCCCAGATCACTGGGACACGAGGAGGGACACACCCACCAGTGAAGGGCCAAACCCAATAGGGGCCCAGTCCCTGAGGGGCCCGACCCCAAAGTGGAGCTTAATTTTATTACGTCTCGTTTAGTTTGTTCGGTTTGAGCGGCCATCTGCTGAGGCCGACCGACTGGGGTTCAAGGAGACAGAAGCAGACATAGAAAAAGAAGCATAGATATTGCCTGGCTGTGTGTTTCCTGGACGGGGCCGCCTGTGGAGCTGGTTGACAGTTGCCTTTTGTATCTATGCTTCTTTTTCTATGTCTGCTTCTGTCTCCTTGAACCCCAGTGGGCCTCAGCAGATGGCCGCTCACACTGAGCCTGGTTCTGCTGGAGGTTTCTTCCTGTTCAAAGGGAGTTTTTCCTCTCCACTGTCGCTACAAGCATGCTTAGTGTGAGGGATTGCTGAAGAGTCAATGAGTCGATGCAATCAGCTGGTTTTTAGGGTGAATCTGTTAGATTTTTGCAGCGCTGTGGGCTGACAGGAAAGGGGGTGTGAGAGAGGTGGGGGGGCATGCAGCCAAGGACGGGGCGGGTCTAAGGCCTCTGGAACCTGGGTCGTGCTCGCTAGAAAACTTTGAACCTTTAATGTGACCCGATGATCTGGTTGAATTGTTTCTATAAAGTGACCTGAGATGACATGATGTGAATTGGAGCTATAGAAATAAACTGAATAGAATTTGAATAGACTGCGGATCAGCAGGAGATCCTTCCTGCCTGCAGCAGATGGATGAAGAAAAGATCAATAAAGTAGTTTGAATCTATTTGAATTTTCTACTTTTATTAGACTGTAAATTTATTTAATTCTATTTTGTATCTTTAAAGCTGTGATGAACCTCAGAGCTCTGAACTCATCCAGCTGCTTAGAACACTGAGTATATAAAACTAAATTTCCTTTTCTACAGCTGTCATGACGTTTCCTTTCCTAAACGATATCCGAGGACATGGAGGATACAGCCGATCTTTCCTTCAAAACGGCCAGAAAGGATTTCACCTCCTGCAGCAGAGAGCAAATCTATAATAGATCAGATGAAAGGTGCAGGTCTGAGCGCCGCAGGAAGCCACTGATTCTCCCTGTAGGAGCCTGAG